TCAAATTAAATACTAATTCATTTGAAATGTTGTTTTTATTATTGAAATATATATGCAGTACATGTATATTAATACGAATAGAATCGAAAGTTTAATATAATATTGAAAGTTATGATACAATAACACAGGCCCACGAAAAAAAATCCTGTGCTGGCGATCTGACTAGGCTAGTCTTATGTATTTTGGCCCGCTGAATTCGAATCTGATGTCAGAATTGCTCCATCACGTCAGTTTTTTTTAAATCTTAAAAATAGATAAAAATTTTGTAAAAATCGACTTTCTAGGGTAATAAGGCTGCGCTTCTTGAAGAAAAAGTTACCGAAATTATATTTTAATGTATTTTCAGACATTATAAATCCAAATCCGACCTAGAATATAAACGTTGTGCTCAATTTATGATGCGAGCTGGACCTAATGCCCGAATAATGTGTCTTATGATCATCTGCGCTTACGCATTCTTTTATCTTCAAATGACCTGTGAAGTGGATTTCTTACCCTTTTTTCTTTCTGCTATATTTTCTCTTTTTAACATCCAACAAAAATCAGCCATTATATTTTCATCTCATCGTCCTTGATATCGGCGCTCCATTTCTTTAATATATATATTATATATATTTTGGCTGATGGCTGATTTTTGTTGGATGTTAAAAAGAGAAAATATAGTAGAAAGAAAAAAGCGTAAGAGAAATCCACTTTACAGGTCATTTGAAGATAAAAGAATGCGTAAGCGCAGACGATCATAAGATATATTATTCGGGCATTAGGTCCAGCTTGCATCATAAATTGAGCACACCGTTTATATTCTAGATCGGATTTGGATTTATAATGTCTGAAAATACTTTAAAATATGATTTCGGTAAATTTTTCTTCAAGAAGCGCAGCCTTGTTACCCTAGAATGTCGATTTTTATGAAATTTTCGTCTATTTTTGAGATTTAAAAAAAACTGACGTGATGGAGCAATTCTGACATCAGATTCGAATTCAGCGGGCCAAAATACATAAGACTAGCCTAGTCAGATCGCCAGCACAGGATTTTTTTTCGTGGGCCTGTGTAATCGTTTAATTAATAATTAATTTAAAAAGAATATACGACGTATTTCGCGATCTTTACTGCTCGAGTGTCGCCGTGTGAATGATACTAAGACCGTATGACTAGCGCGCTATTGTTTACATCGTCAAGGCATCGTGTTATTGTCCGTTCGTCATATCGAAGTATATTATATTATATTTTATTGTATTATATTATATTATATTTTATAATATATTATAATATATATTTTAATATATTTTATAATATATTATATTTTATAATATAATATAATATATATTTTAATATATTTTATAATATATTATATTTTATAATATAATATAATATAATATAAATATGTTAAAGTACGTAAAATATTTCGATGAATAGACAATAATACCGATCTTGGTGTAAACAATACATATTTATATTATATTATATCATATTATATTATATTATATTTTACATATTTTAATACAGCAAATAATTTTTCGATATTGATAGCGATTCCGTCTAGAAAAGGATTTAACGAAGCGTCTTGTACCACTACTTTACTCTTTGAGTGTCGTCGCGCGAATAATAATAGAGCCGAACAAATTGGTCTAAAAGACCGTTATTATTATTTTTTTACTGAAACATTTTTCAAGATTATGGCATATAAACATTAGCGCTCTATTGCTTACTCCGCCAAGGTTAATGTTATTATTTGTTCGTCATCGAAATATTTTACGTATTTTAACATATGTATACATATATACATGAAATATATTAAAATATATAGAAGTATTTTAGATTATATAGATTTTTTAATTATATGATTATTTATTAAAAGATTGATGTATCATGAAGGTTTTCATTATGTTAATTGTTTAGAATGTTTAGATTCACGATTCAATTGTTTTATTGAGCGTTCTCACAATTCGAATTATATTTCAATGATTGAAAAATAAAGTGATAAAACGTCGCAGATATTATATTCAACTCTATAAATATTTATAAATATTAAAGAAATAATTTCTGCTTGTAATTAAACGATTATTTATTAAACAATTAAATAACATACGAAGCATTTCCCATCGTTACTTTACTGCTCAAATGTCACCGAACAAATGATAGCAAAACTGTAACGTACAAACAATAAAACTCTATTGTTTATGTCATCAAAGTTGAACATAATATTATTGATAATTTGTTGTCAAAATATTTTATATATTATAAAACAATTTATTGATTAAAATTGATTATTTATTAAACAATTTATCACGGAACCTTTTGTTATGCGAATTATATTTATATTGTTAAATAGAACGATAAAATAACATGGATGAAATATATTTGTGACTCTAAGCATTAAAATAATAATTATTGTTCGTAAAAATTGCAACAAAATGATTATTTACTATCTTAGATTTCTATCACTTTGATTTTTCATTAAATTGTACACATCGCTAAATATGCATTTCGAGATATATCGTTGCGACGTAATTTTATGTATTATTTATTATTAACCACATCAAATTATTTCTCAATATACTTATCAAATCAATCGCGTTTAGAAAAAGGAAATTGACGGAGCATCTCGTGTTATTTTTCTGCTCATTTTATATATCACGAATTTTATGTATCACGAATCTTTATATTAATTTCGACTTTGCGATTTGACTGTCAGACAGAAAACAATAATGAAATAAGCATATTTAGTCAAGTTAATATTTTTTTGTATAATATCTATATATATATGTTATGATTATTATATAAATTTTTGTGCGAATGATAAGAACATAACACTTTTAAATATCAATCCATTATATGTTGCAAAAATCGCGATATTATTATTAATTTGTTGCAAAAATATTTTATATATAGCATACATATACGCGCGAGATATTAAATTAATTTAGAGAAGTATTTTAAATTATTAATTAATTTACTATACGATTGATGTATCACGAATCTTTATATTAATTTCGACTTTGCGATTTGACTGTCAGACAGAAAACAATAATAAAATAAGCATATTTAGTCAAGTTAATATTTTTTTGTATAATATCTACATATATGTTATGATTATTATATAAATAAGACATCTAAATAATTTTCTTTTTTTTAAGAAAGAGAAAGAGAAAGAAAAGAAAATGACTCGCAGTAATATTAATTACAATTTCGAGAACGTCCTCTGATTATTTGTTATAAATGTAAACGCTAAGCACAAATTAAGCCCGCAATCAACCAGATCCCTTTATAAAGCAAAATAAATGATTTTGAGAAACTAATTATTACGCCCTATTTATATTTTTATTTGTCCGTTGAACAGATATTTAATATCATCAATTGCATAATTATCGAAAAAATTGTTCTTGAGTATAAGTACTTTTAAAAAGTATAAAAAATCTAATAAATAAAAAATTTAATTCTTATATATAAAATATCTAAATAAATATATTATAAAAAATATTTTATAACATATCTATCTCTTTATCTCATAACTATTAAATGTTAATTTAATAGATACGTTATAAAATATTATAATTAAATGTTAATATATTATAATATATCTATTAAATGTTAATATATCTATAGTTTTCATGTATCTCGTATAAAAATATTTTATTTTATTTTATAATTTTAAATATTTGAAATTAAAATGTGGAATGTATATATTATATATACGTTATATTGCATGATAATTTAGAATGAATTATTATCCAGACAATGGAAAAAGAACAAACAATGTTTATTATGTATGAAAATAATATATAACTAATAAAATTACTTCTCATATGTGTGTGTGCGTGTGTGCGTGTGTGCGTGTGCGCGCGCGTGTGTGTGTGTGTGTGTTCCGTACGTTGTCCAATACTTTTCCAGATTAATAGAATACGATTAATTATCAAAGTTTAATACGTGGGACATTTTCCACGCTATTCTTGATCGTGGACTAATCATATGAAATTCACACTTTATTATATCATAAGAACAACATTTATACGAGATTAAAATTAATAATATAGCAGTAATAAGCAGAGCGAGTAGTACTAGTACTGTTGATATATATATAGTATATATGCATAAAATACGAATCTCGTGAGATCAAAAATTAAAGTAATGAAAAATCGTGATATAACTATTGTTTAATTAATAATTAATTTATACTTGCTTTTTAGAAAAATTTAATCAAAAGATACTTGTTAATTATAATAATTCTAACGAATTATGTTGCAATATTAGTCACGATTGGGTTGGAAAAAGAATTTGATAATATACGAAGCGTTTCGTACACTACTACTTTATTATTCGAGTGTAATCGTGCGAATGAAGACAAAGCCGTGACATGTGTATAGCTCGCTTGCTATGCTATACGTCATCAAGGTCAAACATGATATTATTCATAATTCTCTGCCGAAATATTTTACGTGCTACATATACACGCGGAATTTCGAATTATAGAAGTATATTTTATTTTAAATTAATTAATTATAAACGATTGATGTATCACGGAACCTTTGTTATGCTAATGATTTGAATTTATTCGATTGTTTTATCGCGCTTTTCCGAAGTCATATTTTATAATATTTAGTTTTGCATTTTAAAAGACTGACTTAAAGCGAACTAAATAAATAAATAAATGATGTTGAGAAAAAGAAAAAGAAGACACATAAATAAATAAATATATAATATAAGTATATAATATAAATATATAATATAAATAATAGCGTGAAAAGAGAGAACATACTAATATTTTTATATAGTAAATTATTATTAATTAAATTATTTATATTTTTATTTATATTATCAGAGGGACATATATGTTACCCTCTGAGAACATTCGTAGACATTTGTTTTGTAGTTCATGTTTTGTTTTTAATGTCCATAGAGGGAGTATCGCTTCCAGGGATCATCCCTAAAAGCGAACCATGACATCTCTCAGTCTTCTCTCTGTTGGTATTCTTTATTCAATGCTTATTCCTCACTTGAGGATCCCTATAGGAAGTGTGTCCGTTGAGGCTGGTGGTCGTTTTCAAATTTTTCTCTGGTTTTGATGAGTCAAAAAATGGAAAAAATAATACAGCTAAAAGCAACACATATAAAAACAGACGCATTAGTGCTTGAAAATTTGTTACAGACAGAAATTGTAGACAAAAATAAAAAAAATCAAGACCAACAACGATTTAGTGGTAAACTTTGTTATTCTTGAATATGCAGGATGATTTAATTGAGGAAAATAAGTACAAAGTTGATAAGAGAAATTATATATTACTATAAGTATAAAAATTACTGTATATTATTTTGAAGCTTTTGAGCCCACTTAAGATGTATGATTTGCATAACAAGCTTCAAAACATTAATCTGTAATACATTACGTGTCCTATAACTTATGAGTAAATTCTATAATAATTCTGTAATAAATACTTTGTATTTTTTAAAGTTTCTCTTTTTATTACACAATATGTAACATTATAAACAAGATTCTCTTGGAAATTATATATATTCTCCAAAATTATATATAATTATACAATTTTTACATTTTTACAGAACATGAATCTAAGATTAAAGAACTAACATCAAAATTGGCTATTATGAAAGAAAAGCAATATACAGCAACTCAAAATTTGGAGCATAAAAATAATGAATTGTGCAAACATAATATCTATTTAGTAAGTATAATTATGTATTTATTTTTATTTATTAATACAAATATACTAACATTACATTTATATATTTTTCCATTTAATTTTTTTGGATATTCTATCATTGATAAATGCTTTTTTTTAATAGGAAAAAGTACAAGCAGAAAAAAAAGCGCTTTTACAAGAGATTAAACAGTTAGAGGAAAAACGAGACAACTTGAAATCTTATAAACCAAATTTACAAGATCAGCAACTGTTGGAACAAGGAAGGTATATATTATGATTCTATATTGACATACTTTTGTTTTTTTCATGATTTATTATACTTTATAGGAAAAAATTAAAATTATACAAAAATTTAACAAGGATTCAGTGGGATTATGAAGCTACAAAACAAAGTGTAAAAGGCTGTATCCTTTTTCAATATTTGTGATTAATAACTTATTAAATGTGATTGATACATATATGCATGCATGCACATATTATGTGCAACACATGTGCAAGACATATTTCAAAGTATATTTAATATCTTTTCTGCAATCTTTTTTATTTTAAAAATATAAGCAATGGTCAAGCATATTCATAGATGATATAATCCTTAATTCTTGATAACAGATGTCTCAAATAATTATGATTATATTCATCACTTTTGTCATGAAGATCAAGAACCTAGTGAATTAGCAGACTCTCTGTGGCATGAAATATATTTGTCTACTAGTAAAGCTAGAGACAAAAATTTAACACTGCGATAATAATACTGCGATAATGTGATAATAATACTATGATAGTTATAATCTTCTACACTTGTAAGAATAGAGTTAAATTAGATTTACTTTACCTCTGTTATTGCGGAGAATCTCTCCTAAATATTTAAAATATTTTTTAAATTTTTTAAAATCCAGTTAATAAATATATCATGCATATACATATTATGCTTTTACAATGTAATTTAAAAGTGATTAAAAAGACATCTATATTTAACTTTTGTATATGATATAGAAAATAATTATAATAAGTAAATAACTACAATAAATACTATATAATAATTATAATAAATAAATGTAAAATAACTGTTTATTGGCCACATTCAGTAGACTCAAATTGAGTTCGAGATTTTTTCAAGATTATTTTTAAATTTCATTTCTTCAAGATTATTTTTAAATTTGATTTTTTCAAGATTATTTTTAAGTTTCATATATAAATAAATAGAGAATCTTTGTGGGAAGAAATTAAGGGTACACTTGTAAGAATAGAGTTAAATTAGATTTACTTTATCTCTGTTATTGCAAAGAATCTCTTCTAAATATTTAAAATATTTTTTAATTTTTTAAAATCTAGTTAATAAACATATGCACATACATATTATGCTTTTACAATGTAATTTGAAAATGATTAAAAAGAGATCTATATTTAACTTTTGTACATGACATAGAAAATAATTATAATAAATAATTATAATAAATAAATAACTATGTAATAAGTACTATATAATAATTATAATAAATAAATATAATAAAATAACTTTGGCCTCATTCAGCGGACTCAAGTTGAGTTCAAGATTTTTTCAAGATTATTTTTAAATTTCATTTCTTCAAGATTATTTTTAAGTTTCATATATAAATAAATAATCTTTGTGGAAAGAAATTAAGGGTACGTTTCCATGGAGCGGAATTCGCGTAAACGGATCATGCGGACAGTCAATCATGAAACGATTTTAATTATTTCCTTCATCTAAACAGTCTTGTGATTTCTTTTATAGCGAATTTTGCTTATAGCAAAAAATAAAATAAAATAAAATTGCGAAAACAATGAGGAACAGACCTGCATAAATTGTTAGGAAAATATGGGGAATTTGATTTACAGGCTTCAATCTTGGAATTCGGTAGGAAAATGATCTGGCAACCCTGCATCGAATGAAGTCCTCTGTATGTTTATTATTGCTCAATTCACGAATCATGTCATGCTTTCCTCTTTAACATGCTATCTTTTTTTCGAAAGCTATCAATCGGCGGTAAGATAAAGGATGGTATATTACCGGAGAAAATCATGGGAACGGCAGAGGATCTCTTGACAGCGAAGAATCAGAGCGATCTGACATTAATGACAGATACCGAGTTAAAAGAATCCGTTTACGGCAAGTTGTTGCGCTCTATTTGCGTGTTGTATCATTCGACCTTTCGGAGTAATTGTCCGATGTCAGAAAGATGGTGCGACATTGCAAATGACTTGTTTTTTTTTTACATTTTACATTTTATTGAAACAATTGAATGTAGCTCGAAAAGTATTTCTGGAAAAAAGTACCCAGACAGCACAAAAAGGTCAAAGGTCAAAGGTCAAAGATGTCTTAAAGATGTCTAAAGGATTTAAGACGTCTTCAAGTCGTCTTTTAGATGTCTTTTGGACATGTGTGCTGTCTGGGTATTGCAAAAAAGTTATAAGCAGCTGCGAGGATTTTCTGTTGTTTAACAATTCTGTTCGTTCCATTTTCCAGATTTATTGAGGACGATTAAGGATCCGGAGAAGCCGCAAACCTTGGAGCAGCTGGACGTTGTCTACGAAGATTGCATAACCATTTGCCACAGCACACCTGGAGGAGTCTCTGTAATTCGTGTGGAGTTTAATCCTACAGTACCTCACTGCTCGTTGGCAACTCTCATAGGATTATGCATTCGTATCAAATTGGAACGTTATTTAATAGCATCGTTTAAATTAGATATTTATATCAAAGAGGGTGCACATTCTACTGAACAAGAAAGTAATATATATATATATATGTACTTGTATTTATATATCGTTCCAACAGAAACGTATATGCTTGGTTTTAATATTATACATATTAAATTACAGTTAATAAACAAATAAATGACAAGGAACGTATAGCAGCTGCAATGGAAAATCCAAACTTACGGGAATTAGTGGAAAAATGCATACTAGAAGATGATTATTAGCATTTTAGGTGATTGTGTGACATATATATTAAATATCTTCTTGGAATAATATTTTAATCTGCATTATTTTATGTAAAAATAAATAGTATATTTTATTTATATATATATATATATATATATATATATATATATATATATATGATATATAATTAATGAGCCTGATTCACAATTATAATAAATTTCCAATGGGAAAAATTAAATTAAATCTTTCAAATCTTGATAATATGTATTATAAACGTATACATCTCTGATAAAAAAGTGTAAAAAGTGTAAATGTTATCAATAAGAAGATTAATATAATTCAAGAATATCATATACAGAATCTAATGTAATTTGCAGATGTGATGCAAATTTTGTTTTTATATTAATCTGAATTAGGGTAAACAGAATAAAAAAAATTATACAAATCAACATGCTAGTCAACGACCTAGATAGCAAACGTCATTTATTTTGACGTTAGTCATTTACTGATACTACAAATTAGTCATTTACTGATTATTCTTGAGGTCACAAGTTGAGGTTTTTATGACGTAAAGAAAGTGACGATCTAATGTCACAGATTCTTGACGTCATGACTTGTACCGCATTTTGATGTCATAAAATGTATCATATTTTAACGTCTTTTTTAAAATATAACAATGTAATAGCGTTGTCGAATAAAGCAGATTAACCGATTCGAGAACATCACTGAACAATTACAGCCATTCTATTCTTCAGAAGAATCTCGGATCGATTAAACTGCTTTATTCGAAAACGTAAATATGGCAAGAAAATAGGTCGCAAGTTTTACATTTGTTATTATTATTTTATTTAAATGTAAATAAAAACTTATATCTAATATCATATAAAATTTTAACAAATAATATCTTTCGTTGCCTTCGTTTTATAAAAATATATTTAGCCAATCAATTGTATTATAAAAAAAAGTATATATTTTTTGGCATTTTAATTATACTCGATTGATACCTATAGCTATTATTTTCACTGTGCATTAATTTAATGAACACTTGAGTAATAAAGCGACATGAATCGTGCACAGATAAACGCATGCGTCGAGAAAAAATGGTTAAAGTTTAATCGCGAAAGTCACGTTATGTAAAAAATTCTAAAAAATTTTTTATGGGATCGATGTATTAATTAATTTCATTAATAATAATATAATCGTCAGTTCATGACTGAAATATGACGTCAAAATAATGTTATATCAAGACGTCGATATAAAGTTATGTAACATGATTTTGACGACATATGGTCAAAAATGATCAGTTTGGAGTCAAAATGACGTGTACTTGCTACCTGGGAAATTTCAATTTGTTTACAAATAGTCTTACTTATTTCGCGTTATTTTTTTCCGAATTCTTGTTTTAATTAAATTTTTACGACTTTAATTTATTTAATTTGAATAAAAAATATTTTTTAATTTTAATTTTAAAAATATTTTTTAATTTTAATTTTAATTTATTTAATTTGAATAAAAAATATTTTTTTTCTACATTAACAAGAAATACAATTTTAGACTGATATTCGAGAAATACAATTTTAATAGCATGAGGTAATTTTTAAAAATGTCAATTTTCCATGAAATATTTTAATCCTAATGTTTGAAAAATGCTCCGAAAAATGCATCATGCGTGATGCACGATCGTTTTGCGTGCTTCGCACGCAACATACGTCATATATACAACGTATTAGAATGAAATAATCGAGAAATTAAGTGACGTACGATACATTCACAATTTATGACGATAATTAAAATTGCCGCGTGCGGGCATCAGAGCGTGTTTCTACCCATTTCTACCGCTTCTGTGGCGACTATATATCGGACATTTGTGTCGTCAGTCGTCAGTCGAGTTTAGTCGAGCCTCGAGTCGCAAGTTGGAACGCGAACGCTTCTTTCTTCTGATATCGCATCGAACTCTCAAGAAAAAAATCATCACGTGCTTTTCTTTGAACATAAATAATTCATTTAGAAAATCGTTCACATTCGGGATACAAATTGAAAGAGTTTATAAGTGTTTATAAGTTATTACAAGCTAATTAACAGGTAAACAATATAAGCATCTAATTACAATTTTTTAAAATTGAATCTCTTATAGTTGATAATTTTTGAAATAATCTTCTTTCCTTATTTAAATATTGTTTATGCTCCAATTTATAGATTATATATTTTTGTAGATTCATGAATTTTTAATTAATACACATATAAATGAGAACAGTATAACTTGAATTTGTTTACTTTATAGCTTATAATGATAAAGCATAAAATATTTTCAAAAATTAAATTTTTAAGTTTGATATTAATTTTTCTTTCTCCCTTTTTTTAAGATTAATATATATTTTTTTTTCAAGTGCAACGTATGGTAAATCATCAACCGGTCAAGATGGGCTTCAATTTGTCTTCTTTAATTTTCATTGTTCTCCTGTTCAAGTTTCTTACGCACGGCTTGCCACTGGAAAAACAAGAACTTTATGGTAACGACAAATCAACATTACATTGAATAATATTGAATCAACATAAATATTCAGTATACTAATTTGATATCAAAAAATTGCGCGGCGTATCGGAAGGAGGAATTTTTATTTGGAATATTAGGGGCAAAAAAACTGTTCAAAACAAGTCGAAACTATTGCATAAATTTTCATACAATTTTAACACAAGTTAATTTCTGTGTCATTATGAATAAAATATCGTAAAAAGAACTCACCCTAAAAAGTTAATAAGTCAATGATATTCGCGCTAATTTCACTTTTGCAATGAATATATAACGGATAATTTTAATAAATTAAAACGAATCTCTCTCTCGCAAAACGCTGTAGCCGCAATTTTATGCAGCAGTTCCAGTTGTGAGTAGATAAACGTCATAAAACGCAGAAGTTCAGGATAAAACTTTATCATAGATAATATACGCATTTCTTTATTTTTCAACTTGTTTTCCGTTATATCATAGAAATAATGACTCATTTTTATCGTACTATTCGATAACACATATTCCTCGATAATAATGTAGACATACATAAAATCGAAATCTATACACAAATAGACATTAATACGTTTACATTCATTTGTTGCATGCATTTCCTTTGTTTTTTATTTTTTTTTCATTTACTGGAATATAACTCGAATTTACTCATTTAATTCCGATGACAGATTCTATGAATCACCTTTTTCTTTTAGCCAGGATAATAAAGAGATCGTTATCTAATTTTCCAATTTTCAACATGTACATTTTTGTAATTGAATCGCAATTTAAAAAATTAAAGTTTCTCTGAAATTCAAATATTACATCTGATTCCCTGTATAACTTACAGTTACAAAAAATCATTTTTTATCCACATAATTTTCTTCTAATTGAAAAATATATTATTATTTGATGTTTCAATATTTTCGTTGAAGAGAAGGCGACCACAAATTCATTATAGAATCTAATTGATTGTAAAGAATCTATCGCAATTCGCGCATTGTTAAAATTTCGTGGAATATTTTTTTATAAAGTTCTTAGCAACTAAACGTTGCGGTGTCGTGACATTAACGCAGCTAACGCATCGGTTGTTCCCCGGACGCCGAATATAGCACCGACCTCTACCAATGTCACGCAATGCAATAAAGAATTCAAGCAAGAGATCGAGAAAAAAATTGCGCGCGTCCGCATCCGTATAATTATCCAACACAATATTATTGATTGATTTATTCCTTCGATTGATTACATGATTGCACATACTTATATCTCATGAAAGAGCCATTATAATGCGAAAATTGCTTAATTCGAAGAGACGAAAGAGCACAATATTAAAGATAAAACTATATTTCTCTAACGTTGTAAGTTTTAATTTTTTTCATTTTCTCTAGATTTTGATTTAACATAAAAATATATATCCCCCGAAAAAAATCGATTGTACATAATCTGAATATTTATTAGATTAATTGAATTAGATTAAACAAATTAATGAATTAGATTTAAAAAAATGATTAATTGAATTAGATTTAAAAAAATGTTTGAACAGATTTCAATACTAAATATCATGAAATAAAAAAGGACAAATGGAATACTTCTATATAATCGGAGAGATATCTTAACGACTTAAACATACCGCGAGAATTACTCGGTATCTAAAAAAGTGATACATAATTGCGTATTATAATAAATTAATTGAATTACATTAAAAAAATTAATTGAATTAGATTTTAAAAAATGATTAATTGAATTAGATTAAAAAAATGTTTAAATAGATTTCAATACTAAATATCATGAAATAAAAAGTGGACAAATGGAATACTTCTATATAATCGGGGAGCTACCTTAATGACTTAAGCATACCGCGAAAATTACTCAGTATCTAAAAAAGTGATACATAATTGCGTGTTATAATCTTACGAGGAAAACAGGATTTTATAGGTCAGACTCATTACACGCGAGGAAAAGTGCGGGCGATCTGTTGACTAGTTTCAATGACCCGGGGTTTCCCTCTCGTGTTCTTCCCCTATCTTCGCGAAGCGCGTTTGTGTAGCAATATATATCGAATCTGGTTCTGATTTATGTAGAAGGCAGTCACTGCAAGCTGGAGAACGGCAAGACGGGCGTGTGTAAAAAAATACGCGAATGCCCGTCCAAGATACGAGAAGTAATAGAGGGTAAAAGGAGCTCAGACTCGATGGAACGTTGCGGCTTTCAGAACTTTACGGAGATCGTCTGCTGCCAGGTCAACATCACGGACAAGATAGGACTTCGGCCGGCGGAGATAGGTATGATTTCATCTCGCCTGGAAATATAGATAAAATATTTTTATCATCCTATAAATAGTACACTGAAAAAAGTAATGTTGAGTTAACAACATCAGTGTAATTGGAATTTATTTTATTAATTCGATAACATTATTAATCAAATTAATACATGTATTAATTTGATTAAAAATGTTATTGAATTAATAAAATAAATTCCAATTACACTGATGTTGTTAACTCAACATTATTTTTTTCTTGTGTAAGGTAGAGCTATCTGAAAATTGTGTAAGGTAGAGCTACCTGAAAATTGAATACAGAATTGATAAACATAGGTTCTTATTTTAACTAACTTGGAAGGTATAGAAGTTGATAAAGAAGACAATAAATTAATTCTTGCATAATTAGCTGCAGAAGTGAATTTATCAAAGTATATGATTTAGAGGAAATATAAGAGGGGGATGTATAATTGATTATTTTTAAAAAAGAAAATAATTAATAATTAATTCTTGCATAATTAGCTGCAGAAATGAATTTATCAAAATATGTGGTTTAGAGGAAATAAAAGAGGAGGATAATTGATTATTTTTAAATCTCGTGAATTTCCACGTAAGCAAGGTGACGTCTAAAGACATACTATGACGTGTAAAGACATATTATGACGTTTTTAATGACGTACTATGACATTTTTAAGACATTATTAAGATGTCATTTGACGTCATTTTGTTACCCGGATTAACTTGCTTATTATTATATCATGATGACGCGTTAAAGACAATTACATTTAGAAAATTTACATTTAATGGAAAATTGGACAATAAGAAATGCTTTTTTTAGGCAGGTATCATCTAATTTTGCAGATTATTATTATACTGTTATTTTGTCGGGAGATGTGCGTCTAGCTTGTAGCGATAATGAAATGAGCGAGACGATTGAAAGGAAGACAAATCTGATGATTATATACATTCCTACGAGTTCACCGTCGACTAACATTCTATCTTTATTGAAGAACAGGTTTCTCAGGACTCGTTGCCATAATTTTCTGTAGCGACTCTTATATATATATATTTCTTTTTTTTCATCCGAAAAAAAAAAAACGAACTTTATGCGACGAGATTGTCCCCAAACTTTAACAAACATTGACATTTTTCATTATTAAAAAGCAATAGCATACTATACTATTTTCAAATCTCTCTTTCTCTCTCTCTCTCTCTCTCTCTCTCTCTCTCTCTTTCTCCCTCTTTCTGCTTAATATATAGGGGTGGTTTAAAAGTCTGGAAACGGTCAATTATATCCGAAAATAATGGTCCTGTGGGAAAATGTTTCAAATAAAAGTTGTAAGATTTTAAGTGACGCATTACACAGTAATATTACTATGATCTTGAAGAGTGTTGTTAAGGTCACGTCAAGATCATCTTCAATTTCTTAAATGGAACCCCCTATTTTTAATTACATATTCTTATAACTTACCTCGAGAGCTTTTCAAAACACTATGATAAAGTATTTTTTCATTGAATACTTTCCGAGTTATGAGACTTGAAATAATTTCTTAATTTTACGTAATCATTTTACGTAAACCATAAAATATCTAGAAAAATATTCATTTTTCGATTATCTTACCTTAATACTATTATGTACAAAATAATGAGAGGAATCAATTGGTGTAAAGAAAATACATAGTTGTTTCGAAGAAAAAATATGTAATTTGCAATTAACAATTAGATATTTTTAAAAATAACTATGTGTTTTCTTTACATCAATTGATTCCCCTCATTATTTTGTACATAAAAGTATTAGATAGGATAATTAAGATAAGATAATCGAAAAATGAATATTTTACAAAATATTTTATGGTTTATGTAAAATTAAGAAATGATTTCAAGCCTAATTCGGAAAGTACTAATGAAAACTATCTTAATTATAGTATTTTGGAAAGCTCTCGAGATAAGTTATAAGAATATGTAATAAAAAATAGGCGGTTCTGTTTAAGAAATTGAATGTGATCTTGACGTGACTTTAACAACACTCTTCAAGGTAATATTGTAGTAATCTCACAGTAATATTGTGTAATGCGTCACTTAAAACCCTACAACTTTTGTCTGAAACATTTTCCCGCAGGACCACTATTTTCGGAGATAATTGACCGTTTCCAGACTTTTAAACCACTCTATATATGATCGGATATTTACACATAACACATATACACTACTCGTGCAAATCTCGGCTGTTTTATTAATGTTTATCGCGAGTATCGTCACTTTAACGTGTGTCATTAACGCGCGCGCGTGTGTAAATCGCTTCCGCGAATTCGTTTAAATAATGAATGACCTTGAGGTGAAGAGGCTGACGTAACAATCGTCACGGCTCATGACTACGGTTTATTTTATAGAACCGAGCAGAATCGATCATTCTTTCGCACGAAGACTATGTTTAATTCGCTAATTTTCAGCGTGTCGACAATACGAGAACGAGATCGGGACCGGTGGCAAGGCCGTGAATACGGAGAACGAGGTGGAGTTTCACATCTTTAGCGGCATGCTAGCCGAGCGCGGGGAATTCCCGTATATGGTCGCTCTGGGATACGAGAACGACGATGTGAACGATGAGAATCCGGATGCGATCAAGTACAGTTGCGGTGGCACGTTGATCTCGTCGCAATATGTTCTTACGGCCGCTCACTGCGTGAACAACGTGCAGGAGAAAGTGCCGATAGAGGTAAGCAACCAGCGGCGAGTTCCAAGTTCAAGGTCATGATCCAGGATTAACCATCAAACCAACCGCCATCGCGTCCATTCGAGAAATTCTTCTGAAAAAGAAATGAAAGAGATTAGTGGAATTCTTATTTAAATTCTTATAAGAGACGTGTTTACGAAACACAGAAGGATACTCTTGTTTACGGAACCTGCATCTATTATAATATAAATACGACTTCTTTACGATATATCGCATTTTAATAAAGATTGAAGCTTGTTTGGTACAGGCAGATTCGGAAAGACCTTTCTGTAGTTTTTTATGATGCGAGATTTAAAGAGCGAATCTCTCTTGCTTCCCAGGTGAGGATCGGCAGCGAGGATCTAAAGAACATGGGCGAAGATGCGCAACGAATTCCCATAGTCGACGTGATAACGCATCCGCGTTACAAGCGCAGCACGAATTACAATGACGTGGCCATCCTGAAACTAAGAACGCCCGCACGAATGGCGAGTACCGTGAGGCCGATCTGCATCCAAACGAAATCTCTCGCCACCATGACTATGCCGTTGAACGTATCGTTCATCGTGATCGGTTGGGGCGCTACCAGTTACGCCGACGACGGCAGTAACAAGTTGATGAAGACACCGAGTCTCAGGTGCGAGGAAATAAAAAAATGCATAATTTTTTTTTAATAGGAATGTTTAAAGACGTTTTACCCATTTTCAAAATATTGGGAATTTAATGAAAATTAAAATGAATAATAAATGGCAGTAAAGAGCCAACGCAGTTGTAGGGCGTGGATAAAATAATTTCCAAGACGGCAATTCAATTTTAACGATCACATATGGAATAAAGCGAAAGGATCGTTAAAATTGAATTGCCGTCTTGGAAATTATTTTATGCTTATTTTACTGCATTGGCTCTTTACTGCCGTTTATTATTCATTTTGATTTGTTAATTTAGCGGAGCCTTTAACTTTGTTTATTGTATTTTAATGAAAATTGTATAGAATGTCCTTACATATGTTTAGAATCTTCTGTACAATTTTTAAATCGATTCACTAAAGCGTTCACAAGTTATAAGGATTTTAATTTGCTCCGAATTAACATGTTGTGTTTTTATGGGAAATGTATAATTACGTCGATTCAAATGACAAAAACACATGTCCAATTTAACATTTTAAGAAAAGTTAAAGTAAATCTTCAAATAATCTTGAACTTTAACATACAAAATAATCAAAATTAAAGTCAAATGTTTCTATTACAAATAATTTAAGTTAAAACAATTACTATTATAAGTTAATGTCCTACAAAATTCTTATGAATTTCTGTAACTATTTTTTCACGTAATTTTTAATTAATTTGTATGTTATTTTTACATTACACTTAAAGTCACAATAACAAAAATAAATGTGAGGTATTGTGTTAATTATTTAACACTTTTAGTTTGTCAATAAGTAACATACGACGAATGAGTTATTTTAACTTAAGGATGTTTTGTATTTTCAAAATATTGAGAATTTAATGAAAATTGTACAGAATGTCCTTACATATGTTTAAAATCTTCTGTACAATTTTTAAATCGATTCACTAAAGCGTTCACAAGTTTTAAGGATTTTAATTTGCATCGAATTAATATGTGTTCTTATGGGAAACGTATACGTCGATTCAAATGACAAAAACATGGAAATAATATTCAGAATTTGTTTAAAATTTGCAAAAGTTTAGATACCGAGGAAATATTTGGTCAAATAATATTATACAAGTACTAACTGGTTAAAAAGATATTAAATATAATTCGATGAAATTAGCCATGTATCTGTCACAAGGCGAAATTCTCTGCCAAAAGTGAATCATTTCTATTAACAAAATTCAGAATATTTCAGTAAAAACGCAATAAATATTAAAAAATACATCTCTGCACTGTAGCTAAGATCAAATTGTATTCCACACAATTCCTCATACTCAAAATACACCAAAAGTGGATATATTCGTCAATATTGATTTTCAGATACTTTTTGCTAGGATACAAAACATCCTTAATCTCAGAATTTTCATTATCACATACGCGAATGTGTTTATTACTTATGGGCTCCAGCCTAAATCTTGTGGATTGATATATAAAATCCCTGCTCTAGATACCGCTGCTGGTGTAGCTGTCCTGAAATAAAAACAGAAACATAAAACAAGAAGATAATTATCATAAATAAAAGTTTTCGCCATTTATTCGCATTAAATTTTAATATTTAGTTAATTCAAACAAAGTAAAATTAATTTCAATCTTTTCTTTCAGTTTAATTGAGAGGCTTTGATTGATTTTTTTTTTCAAAGATTAAATAATACATATTCAATTTTTTTATTCTTTTCTAGAAATATTAAATATAAAGTAAAATGTTTGATTAATTTGCCTATTATTTGAAGCAATTGAAAATTCACAAATATTGTTATTGTTTAAAAATATATATAATCTTATCTCTTTTTTTATATAAATATATCTCATCATAGGATTTTCTTTAGTCTTGTAGATAGAGAGTCGTGCGGCAAGTCGTTCAACGGTTTCAACAAATTGCCCCGTGGCTTGGACGATAATATGCTATGCGCATTGGACACCAATGATACGAGAAGATCGGACGCTTGTCAAGGGGATAGCGGTGGGCCTTTGTTGATGCTCACTGGATCCAGTCAGACCATCGTGGGAATCACGGCGTTCGGGCAAACTTGCGGTGGATCCATACCAGGGGTTTACACAGCGGTATATTCCTATTTGGAGTGGATCGAAAGACAAGTCTGGCCGGAAATGAGCGACGAACGGTAGATGAATCACGTCTCGAGAATTTCAAGGAGTTTCACTTTCCCAGTTTATGTGACTTACAAATCGACGGCGCGACTTAAATATCGTTCATAGTGTCGTTACGAGAATCTAGTCTGAAACTATTGCGTGAAAGAATGTATAATGGAACATTGATTACATTCTTCAATTTCTATCTCTTGCCTTATTTTTGTAACTTTAACGAATTTTATACTTTTATATATTTGTAATTTCATTCGAGAATATGCTTATGTGTGTATGTGCCTTAATAAGATATCGAATATTGATGTAGATCGTAGTTTTACTTTGAAAACCTTTGTGCGGAGACAAATTGAGACAACGTTCAGATCGTTAAATTGAATAACGATCGACAGCAAGGAACTTTTGCCGTAAATCTAAACATGACCGACAAGAAGGAAGAGGAGAAAAAGGAAGATGACGAGCGTCTCGAATATATTTTTAAATATCTAGCGTTATCGAGAAAAATTAAACTCGAAAAATGGATAAAGATGTTAACAAACGAGGAATATAAGGTGTATATATATATATTTTTCCCTTTTTATATCTTAACCCTTCATCGTTCGCGTCAATTAAGTGCAAATTTACATACGCCACTATTTGAAATGCGTTGGAACAATATATATCCTAATTCTCTAATAATTTTCAAGATCGCAATATACTAAAAAATAATTATTAGGGAAAATTAGTCTAATAATCTATTAACCTAATATTAGCAACACTCTTGTTGCGAAATAACATAGCATGATTAATAGATTATGTGAAAAAAATTATGCGTGTATGTGTGTGTGTGAATCGTTCTTTAAATTTTAAATTATATATTGCTGTAATAAATAAATTTTTAGTTTATTAAAAAAATGGGAAAAATGCAATATTCTTGTGCGAACGATTTTCAAAAGCTTCCTTCCATCCAATGTTGAAACTTTGCATTTTTACACAAAAGAAATTAATAATTGTTACATTAATAAATTGCTCGGCATAGATGCTTCTTTTATTTATATAACTTAAATACAAAAACATGTCAGGAGATGATCATGAAGTTCTTTGACACGCCGTCGGAGATGATTCTGATAGTGCAACTAAGTCCGGCTGGCGTATTGGCACCGTTTCTCGAGATACCAACCACAAGCCGGGCAAAAGCGTCTTACTTTATAAAGAGGAGTTCCGTCAAGATCACGCGGGAAAATTACAGGGACGTTATTATACCCGGCGACATGGCACCGAAACCCATCGACGAATTGTCCATTTTGTTCGAGGAGGTAACGAATGCTTCGATTATGTACTCTCTAAAAGTGAATCAATGAAAAAATCACTAATTTAAACAGTAAAATAAGATTTCACTGAGAATCAGTGAGTATTTTACTGATCTTCAGTGGAAACGCTTATTTTTTTTGTTATTTTATCTTATATCTCACTGATTATGGTCAGTTAAAATAAAATTGTAAAATCGATAAATTTTATTGTAAAACCAGTAATCGCTAGTTCGTTCATTTACCGCTACAATTGCTATCTCTCTCGTATTTAATTTTAGTTACAAGAATTATATAAAGTTTGCAAAGAGCGACATTTAAAATTAGAAGTATTACTTCGATTTAATTTCTGATACAAGCTCAATAGAGAGGCTTCAGATATTAAATCGTTCTTTATAAGTCGGACAAATAAATGTCGGCGACTTAATAAAAATGATTTGTTCGTTATCCATTTAAAATAACAAATTCAACATGTATGTAATATAAATAAAATAAAATTTTTAATATAACAAATATTTAGTAAATATAAATAAAATTTTTAATTTTATATGAAATAGATAGAGAGATGAATTATAGTTAAATATTACTGACAATAACGAAAGAAGTATTACTGATATTGAGAAATATTACTGATTGAAACAGTCAAAATTATTAACTGATTTCTTCAATAAAATATCACTGATTTACAGTGCTATACTTATAACTGCTGTAATCAGTGACTATTTACAGTTTTTCAGTGATAATACACTGATTCACTTTTAGAGAGTATCGTTTGCATCTGTAAAAAAGAGGCTGACGCAAAATTCTAGGCTTACGTGCCGATATTGTCGAATCCGAAGAATCACAAGGGCTGGCCGCGTGTCATCGGCGAGGATATGAAGAAACACGTCTACGATTTTCGCAATATAATATGCCAGGTACACATTTTTAGCCCTTCATCCACGAGACGTAATCTTTGTCCATGTGACAGACATTGTTACGCATCCTTCAATATCCTCTTCTCTCTTTTTTAATATAAATAATGCTCCTGTCTTTAAAAACTTAACGCTATCCAGGCAGTAAATATGAAATTTTGCAGTGCAATAAAAATATTTTAAGTAGAATAAAAATGCAATAAAAATATTCTAAGTGAAATAAAAATGCAATAAAAATATTTTAAGTGAAATAAAAATTTTTAAGTAGAATACTTTACAAAAAAAAAAGAAAAAATGTCTTCTTTCAGGTCAAAGGTAAGATGATAGGACAAACATTACTGCCGATGCCGATGGGCGTCGAACAGGTATTCGAGGAGGAATGGAAAGCGCAGCAGAGCGGTGGTGTCGAAGTCGATCTTCGTTTGAAAAGCGATATAGAGACTATCGTGACAAAATGGTGTTCGCAAATTAATGATGTACTCAACGAGGAGAGCACACGCGCCTTTCTCAACGATAAGCAGCCGCTACCAAGCGATGGTACTTGGGCAACAGTATTTAAATCTATAGAGACAATAGTATTTAAATCTCTAAAGACTTTCAGAGAAATTCTGCATGCGTTCAATAAAAGTTTTTTTTTAAGGTCAACGGGATATTTTATTTGCGGCATTCGATGCAAATTATACATCAATATATTGTTATAATATTACTAACTAAAAGGATACAATTCTTTTTTTTTGCGTTATTTATTTATAATATATAATTCGAATAATTTTTATGCAATTTTGAAAAAAAGAAGTGTATATTTTCCGATTTTTTGCGACTGACTTGATTTTTAATAAAATCGAGAATTAAGATTTCAATTATTAATTATGTACTTTTTTTCAGAGATCGAGTTCTGGCGTCAACGGCTTGAAAATGTTGAATCTATCTATAACCAGATGAGAGATCCTCGAGTGAAGAAGATGGCATCTATCTTGGAATTAACCAAGAGTCCCTATTCACAGTGTTTTAAAACTCTATTGAAAGCTGTTATCACTGGTTAGATTTTGCATTAATCGAACAATTATTGCCAATGAGTATTAATTTAATGAATAATTGAACGATTAGATATTTTATTTCTTGCTTATCATTTCAGCGAATTATGAAAAAAAAACAGAATTTGTCGAGTAAAGGATTTTCAGATAAATTTCCAAATTTAATTCTACATTAAAAACATATCACACTAAAATTCAGAAAATATTTTTATTTGTTTTTATTCAGCGGTGATCGAAGCGCGTGACGTGTGTTCTTATTTGAAAGCGTTGGAACCTTATTTCGAAGACATAGAAAATACCGAATTCAAAGATATACAGCCAAGATTGAAACCGCTATTGCATTGCGTGTGCCTGATGTGGTCAAACTCGAAATATTATTGCACTTCCACGCGGATAATCACATTGCTGTCCGAAATATCCAATCTGCTGATAAGCGAGGTATAAAAAGGAAATAGTTATTTCAAAATTGAAACATTCAAACACACAATCTAAATCTTATATATTAAAAAAATTAATTAATAAAAGAAATTTAATTTAATTTTTGCAAGAAAGTATTAATATGTTACTTTTTATAAAGAATATTGAATTTTTCATTGTGTTATGATTTATTTAAATTTATTTAATCCACACTATCCTTCTCTTCCCTCTCCTTAGAAGTTAATTCTTCACTAATCTTTTCGCTTGTGGAATTCAATATCCTATTTACGAAAGAAACACTTGAAAAGAATCATCAGAAACGCATTAGAAAATGTGACTAATAGTCTTATAAATTCCCTTCCCTCTGTTCCCCTTCTTTTTTATGCTTCTCTGATGAGAATTAGATAAGAAGATTTATATAAGAAGATTTATATAAACAAACTTCAATCAGACATACTCTCTAAAAGTGAATCAGTGTATTATCACTGATTTACAGTGCTGTACTTATAACTGCTTGTAATCAGTGACTAATTACTGTTTTTCAGTGATAATACACTGATTCACTCTAGTGAAAGTAATATATATACTACTTTCTAAGTGAATCACTTTTTGAGTGAATCAATGTATTATCACTGAAAAACAGTAAATAGCCACTGATTACAAGCAGTTAAAAATACAGCACTGTAAATCAATGATAATACACTGATTCACTTTTAAAGAGCATGCATTCAATTAAACTAATTTAAGGATGTTTTGTACCTATTTTCAAAATATTGAGAATTTAATGAAAATTGTATGGAATGTCCTTACATATGTTTAGAATCTTCAGTACAATTTTTAAATCAATTCACTAAAGCGTTCACAAGTTATAAGGATTGTAATTTGTACCGAATTAACATGTGTTCTTATGGGAAACGTATAACCACGTCGATTCAAATGACAAAATCACATGGCAATAATATTCAGAATTTGTTGAAAATTTGCAAAAGTTTAGATACAGAGGAAATATTTGGTCAAATAATAATATACGAGTACTAACTGATTAAAAAGATATTAAATATAATTCAATGAAGTTAGTCATGTATCTGTCATAAGGGGAAATTCTCTGCCAAAAGTGAATTATTTCGATTAACAAAATTCGAAATATTTTAGTAAAAACGGGATAAATATTAAAAAATATATCTCTGCACTGTAGCTAAGATCAAATTGTATTCCACACAATTTCTTACTCAAAATACAAAAGTGGATATATTCGTCAATATTGATTTTCAGCTACTTTTTGCCGGGATTGTACATACAAAACATCCTTAAATGTGTATCTTCTTTTTTCCTCAAAAACGTACAATGTATATATTGCATCGCTAATCATGTAGTTTCGCAGGCTGCCAAATATTTAGATCAGAGTACCTTGTTCGTGGGCGACGTCGAAGATAGTCTGAAACGTTTAGAACACGTGACAAACATTCTGACCTATTATACAGAAATATTCGAAATGTTTCGAAGTAGGGTGGATAATTACTTCAAGCACCCGACCGAGTCGATCCCGTGGAATTTTGACGAAGAATTAGTACTCGGAAGAATAATGAATTTTCAGAAACGTCTAGCAGAAATAAAGGTCCGTGATTTATTTCTCAAAATCCGATTGGGCACGTATAGATCAATTGTTTCGTATCTCAAAAATTTTATAAGAAATATTGTGCCTTTTCCTTTCAAGATAAAACAGATTATTCGGAACCTAATTTTATGAAACGCTTCCCAAGAAAGTATATATATTTATACAGGATGTCAGGGCAATCTCTTCCCCAAAAAAGCTCTTGTAACTTACCTCGAGAGCTTTTCAAAACACTATAATAAAGTATTTTTTCATCGAATACTTTTCGAGTTATGAAAATAATTGAAAAAAAAATGTAATTGTTAATTGCAAATTATATATTTTTTCTTCGAAACAATTATGTGTTTTCTTTACACCGATAAATTCCTCTCATTATTTTGTACATAAAAGTATTAAAGTAATATAATCGAAAAATGAATATTATGCTAGATATTTTATGGTTTATGTAAAATTAAGAGATTACTTTTTGTTTTAAAAAGCTTTTAAGAAAGCTACAAGAGCTTTTTTGGAAAGAGATTATCCTGACACCTTGTATATAAAAAGTTTTTTAAAATATAAAAAATACTTATTTTTTTAAATTCATTGTTGTAGGTTAAGTTAAAAATAAAAGCTGGTAAACCAGAATATTTCAAGAGAAGATGGAATCCGGCTGAAGAAAACGTTGCCAAATATACGATATCAGAAAAGTGTCAACTTTCAATATTCGCTGAGTACTACGATATTTAGTAGAAGAAACACGATTCATCGATAGCATCACTTTTTTTCTAACTAAGGTGAGATGATAACGGCACACTGAGAAAAAATCTGACTGCCTTAATTAGAATTCTGGTAGATTCAACCAGTATGTCTGGTGGACGAACCAGATGGTATGAACCAGTATGGTATGAACGAACTAGAATTCTTGTAGGAATTACCAGATGAATCTGATTAATTTCTCCTTATTAAATTTACCAAATTTTCTGGTTAATAATAACTAAAATTCAGTAAAAAATAAAATTTAATAATAACTCCCCAGCACCAAGTCGTCTAAAATTTTTTCCATCTAATCTCAAAAGTCTGTTTAATATTCTGAATTCCAACACGATTATTGCGTAAATTCAATCCAGATTATTGAATAAATTATTTTAAATTCAGTTTGTTAGTAATTAAACTGATAAACAGTGGTGCAAGAGGAGGATGCAGCTCAAACACACACAATCAGAGAACTAGCGTCCTCTTTCTTGCACTACTATTCGTAAGAGAAAAAAAATATACTTTGGATTTAATGTTAATACTACACTGAGAAAAAAAAAATCTGGTTGCATTAAATTAGAATTTGTAAATCAATCAGTATGTCTGATTGGAATAATGACGAACTAGAATTCTTGTTAGGAAAAATATTTTTAATTCTCAGATTTTGAATTATTGAATGTTAAATTATTAAAATGTCATGGTAATAAGTATCTGTTGGAAAATACAACTAGAATTCTTGTAGGAATTACCAGATGAATTTGATTAATTTCTTCATGTTAAATTTACCAAATTTTCTGGTTAATAATACTAAACTCCCTAGCACCAAGTCGTCTAAAATTTTTTCCATCTAATCTCAAAAGTCTGTTTAATATTCTGAATTCCAACACGATTATTGCATAAATTCAATCCAGATTATTGAATAAATTATTTTAAATTCAGTTTGTTAGTAATTAAACTGATAAACAGTGATGCAAGAGGAGGATGCAGCTCAAACGCACACAATCAGAGAGCTAGCGTCCTCTTTCTGGCACTACTGCTCGTAAGAGAAAAAAAATATACTTTGGATTTAATGTTAATAATAGTTCTTTATATACATTTTATTGCAAATATTGAATATACGAGTTAAGTTAAGAGTGGCTCGCCGCCTTAGTAGCTAGCAAAGAAATTAATGTAACAAGAAATTTTATAGATCCGACCAGAAAAAACAAATCAAAACCTTATAGTAAAATCTATTAAACGTTCTAGTTATAAAAAATTGAGTCTTATCATGATAACTAAAAATTCTTGTTTGATTTAATCAAAATGCCTTCAATCAGATACGTCTTGTTGGTACAATCGAACGATTTTTCTCAGTGCATAAGTTTCAATACACTATTCATAGTTAGTGTTGTAACGCAAAATTTGCATTTTTTATTTCATTTGCAGGTCGAAGAGTTTGATCGACAGCTGGCGAACATATTCGATCAGGCGCTTTCGGAGTGTCACAATACGGAAGCTATATTTAAAATGATATGGATCATAGATTCGATGGCCAATCGACCGATTATCATGGCCCAATTATGGCACAATTATGAGAGATTGCTTCAAAGGATTCACAATCACTTCAATAACATTAAAGTGCGCGCAATATTATATCATGTTGATAATAATTAATATACAGATTAATATATAAGATATAACATAACTTGAACGAAAATCTCTGTTCCTTTCCAGATAATATTCGATAGCACGTTCAAAGACTATGATGAGGCCGAATGGATCGAGACCGAGCAATATTTTCCACGCGTGGCCAGCGCGTTGTGCACATTGATGCAATTGCGACAACGAATAGATTATCCGATGCAATGCGCGAAATCTGTCGATCATCCTCTGATAAATCTGAGAATCGAGCGCGAAACCAAACCGAAATACGAGCAACTGCAGGTACCATTTCCCCTTAAATCTGAAAAATATATTGTTTTCTTGATTCACTGGGTCTTTCTATAAGTCCTCAAGGAAAGAATTTATATTTATATATTTTATTTTAATTATTTTATATATGTAAAATTTTTTATATATATAAAATTATTTTATATATTTAATTATTATATATATTTTATATATTTTATATATTTTATATATTTTATATATTTTATATATTATATATATATATATATATATATATATATTATATATATTTACTATATATTATATATTTATATATTTATAATATTTTACGATCATAATACTTTATAATACATTGTGTCATACGAATTTATAATACTTTATATATACTTTATATTTATTATATTTTATTATACTTTATATCATATGGTATCATCTCATATGATTTTCGCGATGGGAATTGCGTTAATAAAAGCATCATCGTATTCCGCAAGTCGCTCATGGACGCGATGGAGCACCAAATATTCACGGACTGGGCCAAGAAGATAGTCAATATAAGCAACGTTCACTTGTCGAAGAGCTTATTAAAGATTCGCGAAGACAAATTACTCGATCTGAACTTCGATCCCGAGCTGACGGCTCTCCTGCGCGAAACTCGTTATATGATCATCATGCAGAGGACACATTTGCCCGAGGAAGCGATTCGGCTCTACTACAGAACGCAGTATTTCTTCGAGAGCACATATAATCTAAGTCTGTTCATACAATGGTAAGTACATAGTAAAAAAATAAAATGTTAATTATAACATTTTTTTTTCACATGTGTCAAAAAGTCCACTTTAAATTTTAAGGATGTTTTGTATGTACAATCCCAGCAAAAAGTAGCAGAAAATCAATATTGACGAATATATCCACTTTTGGTGTATTTTGAGTATGAGAAATTGTGTGGAATACAATTTGATCTTAGCTACAGTGCAGAGATGTATTTTTTAATATTTTATTTATTGCGTTTTTACTGAAATATTCCGAATTTTATTAATCGAAATAATTAACTTTTGGCAGAGAATTTCGCCTTGTGACAGATACATGGCTAACTTCATCGAATTATATTTAATATCTTTTTAATTAGTTTTATTAGTACTTGTATAATATTATTTGACCAAATATTTCCTCTGTATCTAAACTTTTGCAAATTTTAAACAAATTCTGAATATTATTTCCATGTGCTTTTGTCATTTGAATCGACGTAGTTATACGTTTCCCATAAGAACACATATTAATTCGGTGCAAATTAAAATCCCTAAAACTTGTGAATGCTCTAGTGAATCGATTTAAAAATTGTACTGAAGATTCTAAACATATGTAAGGACATTCTGTACAATTTTCATTAAATTCTTAATATTTTGAAAATAGGTACAAAACATCCTTAAGTTAAAATAACTCATTCGTCGTTACTTATTGACAAACTAAAAGTTAAATAATTGAATTAAATAAGAAAATTGAATTAAATAATTTAATAATATAATTTAACAATAATAAAATTAAATTAAATAATTTAATTTATTAAATAATTGACACAATACTTCACATTTATTTTTGTTATTGTGACTTTAAGTGTAATATAAAAATAACAAACAAATTAATTAATAATTACATGAAAAAATAGTTACAGAAACTCGTAAAAATTGTTGTAGGACATTAACTTAGAATAGTAATTATTTTAACTTAAATTATTTGTAATAGAAACATTTGACTTTAATTTTGATTATTTTGTATGTTAAAGTTTAAGATTATTTAAAGATTTACTTTAACTTTTCTTAGAATGTTGAATTAGACATGTTGATTGTTTAAAATGATTATGTTAAAAATATTCAAAATAATATTCCATTTAAAAAACATATACAAAGTGTTAAGTTACAAAGTTTACATAACACATGAAAACGTTGTAAAAATAATAACATACAAGTCGTATGTTAATTTTACATTAAAGAACTAATCAAAACTTGATAACACAAGAAAATTTTATGTACGCACAATTTTTTTACTGCGTAAATACTTCGCTCGGACATTCAAGATGATTCAAACATTTTGATTCGTTCAAATATAATTGGACACAATTATGGCAGGTACAATTGGATAAGGAATTATAGTTTGCCTGTGGAATTTGAGTTGGTGAAACACGAAGTCGAGAGAATAGACGAATTAATTCGCATTGGTCAAGAAAAATATAACTGGGATTCTTCAGGTGAAAATTATTATAAATATAGACCATTTTATATATTATAAAAACATAATATTACGTTGTAAAAGTACAGAAGTGCCGAAGTATATCGAAAATTTGATGGGCCCGATGCGAAAATTGCATTCGCGGATTTTTCGCGCGCAAGCAGACGTCAATGCATTGTTGCGAATGATTTATTCGTGGGCGCTGTCGCCGATATTAGAGCGTAAGGATTTTAAAAGCGAGAATTTGCTCGCCTTGAGCGAACGCGATGAGAACTTTCAAAGGCGATACGATCAGATCAAGCTCGCCGTCGAGGAATTAAATCGAGTCTTGGATAAGAATTACAAACTCTTCTTTGACTTGTTACCAGATATTTGGTACGAAAGAGACGAGTCCGATCTGGACAGAGGTAATTCGTATTTATCATATTTATAATTCGTAGTTATCTTTAAAGCTGGATTGTTGCGAAACGAAACAAGCTTTCGAAAAGCTTGCAGAATATTTTCTTCGAGTCTATTTTTTAAAACAAATTCATTATATTCCATATCATCAGTGCTACATTTTTTTATATCAGCCATTTATGTTATTTTATTTAAAATCTTTAAATCAATTTTTCAAAATATTTGAAAAATAAAATTATGACATACTCGAATACAGATGCACGAATAGATATCGAGAAGCGAGATATAGAATTCAAAGTAGGAACAGAAGAAGACACAGAAGATTTGCGAATTCTACCAAACAAATTGAGGTGTACATCAGCTTTTTCTTAGAACACAAATTTTTTTCATCATATCGCTATAAATAAAATAATATAAAAATTGTACTTGTTATGAAATATTTTTTATATATGTTGCAGAATTGAAGAGAAGGAAAGAACGGCCATAGTCAATAATGCAGAAAATCAAAGAGCCGAATTAATGATCGAAATATTGCAAACGGAAGAAGAAATCGCTCAGTGCATGATTAAATGGAAGCCATATCTCACTTATGTCGACGATCTGATGTCGAAAGCTCTGATTCAAGCCGCTTCTACCAGGTATTGAACTATAATTCTTCGTATAAAGTGTCTATTCTTACTGAATGTCATTTCTTGTATAAAGTGTCATTTTCTAAAGTTTAATTAATTAATTAATTTAAGTAATTAATTATTAATAATATCACAGTATCTCTCTCTATTCGTATCCGTTGTGTAATTAAATTATTTCACTTTAACAACAGTAAAATCACGAGTATCAATCATTTCAATGGCATTTAAGGATGTTTTGTATGTACAATCCCAGCAAAAAGTAGCTGAAAATCAATATTGACGAATATTCACTTTTGGTGTATTTTGAGTAAGAAATTGTGTGGAATATTACAATTTGATTTTAGCTACAGCGCAGAGATGTACTTTTTAATATTTATTGTGATTTTACTGAAATATTCCGAATTTTGTTAATCGAAATGATTAACTTTTGGCAGAGAATTTCGCCTTGTGACAGATACATGGCTAACTTTATCGAATTATATTTAATATCTTTTTAACCAGTTGGTACTTGTATAATATTATTTGACCAAATATTTCCTCTGTATCTAAACTTTCGCAAATTTTAAACAAATTCTGAATATTATTTCCATGTGTTTTTGTCATTTGAATCAACGTAGTTATACGTTTCCCATGAGAACACATGTTAATTCGGTGCAAATTAAAATCCTTATAACTTGTGAACGCTTTAGTGAATCGATTTAAAAATTGTACTGAAGATTCTAAACATATGTAAAGACATTCTGTACAATTTTCATTAAATTCTCAATATTTTTAAAATAGATACAAAACATTCTTAAGTTAAAATAACTCATTCGTCGTATGTTTCTTATTGACAAGCTAAAAGTGTTAAATAATTAACACAATAGTTTACATTTATTTTTGTTATTGTGACTTTAAGTGTAATGTAAAAATAACATACAAATTAATTAAAAATTACGTGAAAAAATAGTTACAGAAATTCGTAAGAACTGTTATAGGACATTAACTTATAATAGTAATTATTTTAACTTAAATTATTCGTAATAGAAACATTTGACTTTAATTTTAATTATTTTGTATGTTAAAGTTCAAGATTATTTGAAGATTTACTTTAACTTTTCTTAGAATGTTAAACTAGACATGTGTTTTTGTCATTTGAATCGACGTGGTTATACGTTTCCCATAAGAACACATGTTAATTCGGAGGAAATTAAAATCCTTATAACTTAACGCTTTAGTAAATCGATTTAAAAATTGTACAGAAGATTCTAAACGTATGTAAGGACATTCTGTACAATTTTCATTAAATTCTCGATATTTTGAAAATAGGTCAAAACATCCTTAATCGAGATTCTCTCTTCCTCTATTAATTATTAGACTTATTAGACTTACGAAATGTGAAATTAGCAATTATTAAAAAATGAAAATTGAAGATTAACGATTCAAGTTTATATTTGCAGTATATGTTACCTGCTCGACGAAACTGATCCGGAGAGCAACGTGTCGCCCCTCTTCGAGATTCAATTGTCGCTCGAGGTGCCTTACATTGTCTTTCGTCCTGCGGTAGATCCGGATGATCCCAAAGGCTTCTACGCGTTTTATGAGGGCCTGTTGCTTGATGTTATGAGAATGGGAACTTTAATGCCGCGCGTAGATCCCGACATCGCAAAGGAACGGGAGCACTACGGAGTACGTCGTTGTATACAGGGTGCTCGGTAACAGGCGCATAATATTCAGAGCATATCACCTCATTATCTGAAACAATTATTTTTTTGTTATTTATGCAAAAAAAAAACAGTTATTAAATGATGAAAGAATAATGACTTATATAAGAAAGAAAATGTTTTTTTGACGCGAATTGTTTGTTTCAGACATAATAATTTTAAATACACTTTATTTTCTCGATATATTTAAATATTTGAAACTACTTTTTAAACTATGCAAATATGATACCTGATAATTTTGCTATATACATATGTTTTTTTCTCATAAAAAGTTAATTTTTAATAAGAAATATTATCATCCCGTTCGCCAAATGCATCTAATTTGAGCGAAGCATTCAAGTGAATGTACTTGTATAATACAAAAGTAGTATGAATATTTAATATCAGATTGAAAAGAGAATAATGTGATACATTATATTATATTATATAATACATCTATTGTATGATACATTTTCATTTTTTTAAAATTGAGAAAAAACCACGATCTACCGTATGATTAGTACAATTTTTCAGCTTATTGGGTATATGAGATATCATAATATAACTCTTCCATTACTAATCGCGATATTACATGTTAAGATCGATTTAGCGGAAGAAGAAAATATCGTTTTCATGCTCGAGGAGACGTGTAACCGGATCAAACTGGGCTTGGTGCAAGCACAGGAATATATTATCGTAAGATCTCCAAGTAACTCTGTCCTTATCTTATTTTCGATCTCAAATTTGAATCGTAGACATATTTTATTCGCCATTTTTTGCGATAGCATTATCTCAATAGCATAGAATTTTTATTATTTTTAGTTTTTATTTATAAAAATAATATAAAAGACAAGCATATTTATTGATAAGCATAACTTTCGAATAATAAGCACTTATTTGAGAAAGCATTAAACATGAAATGATTGATTTGTTCATGAAAATTTCTCCTAACTATTCTTCAAACTACAGATCTTCGAGCCATTTTCCTGGCTATGGCTGGACGACAAGCAGCAATACTTGAATCTGTTTTTACGTTTCGGCCGTGCTCTCACGAACGAAGAAAAGGAAATGGTAGCGCAAGGGCTAGAAAATTTGTCGGAGCTAAAAGAGAGAAAACCAGGATTGGACGATTTTAAAAGAGAGATCGACTATTTTATGCAACTTTACAAAAAATGTGATAAGTTCGAGAATGAAAAGATTTTCTTACGTTGGTTACGATTAGATGTGAGGTCCTTCAAGCAAGCTCTGCTCAACACAATCTGCAAATGGACTAATTTATTCAAGACATATCTCGTCGACGACGTCAACAGCAAGTATGTGTATTGTCTACATGTCTTTTTTTCTGGGAAAGAAAACTGCTTTTTAAATTTCCTTCTCTCTCTTTCTCTTTTTCTGTAAAATTATATATTTAATTGATATTGCATAAGAATATTATATTTCATGTTCGGATAATGTATACGTCGCAGGCTTAGAAACCTTAGCGAATTCTTGGCCAATGCTCTAAAGAAATTCACCCAGCCAATCGCACCGGATGATTACGAAGACTTGCTAAACACTATATATTATCTAAAGGAGGTTCGAGATCGACAATATCAAATTGATGACATGTGGGAGCCTATAAAGGTGGAGTAAAAAGTGAAATATTATGAACTCTCGTTTGATTTCTAATATCATATAAAAAAAGATCTAGATTGTATCTTATTTATAATTCATAATTTAATATTTAAATCTATGTAAAATGAAAAATCCAACAATAAACGAAAATAAAAATTATTTATTAATATTTTCTTTCTTTAAAATTATTATTTAAATATTTATTATTTATTAATATTTTCTTTTTTTTTAAATTATTATTTAAATATTTATTATTTATTAATATTTCCTTTCTTTAAAATTATTATTTAAATATTTATTATTTAATAATATTTTCTTTCTTTAAAATTATTTATATTTTATTAATATTATCCTTCGAAGAAGAATTTTCTATCATAACCGCTCGTGTTCATAGGCGACTATGGATCTTCTCACGCAGTATGAAGTGAAATTCGGCGAGGAAACGTATACTTGGCTGACGGAATTGCCGGAGCAATGGACGATGGTTAAGAAATGGGCGGCGCAGGTGAAGCAGCTCGTACAGCCTTTGATGGCGCGACAAATTGAGCTGCTGAAGAAGCATCTCAATTATTACGATTTCAGACAACAGCAGTATCTTGCACGATTCCGCGAGAACGTTGTGTTTAAGTAAGACAGCTAGTTTCCTTTTCTATTTCTAAGTAAATTTAAAAGATACGCATATCTTTAATTTCACTGCCTAGTTTCGATTGTACGAACGTGTACGATAAACTAGACAAGATAAATGAAGAAATCGTCAAGTTCGAAGAGGAATTAAAGGCATTGCACGATCAAGCGAATATATTCGAGCAGCAGGTAATGGAATTTAAACAAATCAAGCTCGCCAGAAGAGAATTGAGACTTCTGAAGAATCTTTGGGATCATGTCAATATCATTACGTCGAGTTTAGACGAATGGAAGACAACAGTCTGGAAAAAAATAGATGTCGAGGGGATGGATCAAGAATGTAAAAAAATGATTCGGGAATTAAGACGTAAGTTTTGTATTGATTATTGGTGATTCTCTAGTATCACATCAAGTGTTCCTACACTGAGAAAAATCGTTTGATTGTATCAACAAGACGTATATGATTAAAGACATTTTAGTTAAATCAAACAAAAATTTCTAGTTATCATGATAAAACTCGATTTTTTTTATAACTAGAACGTTTAATAGATCTTATTATAAGGATTTGGTTAGTATTTTCTGGTTGGATCTATCAAATTTCTTGTTACATTAATTTCTTTGCTTGCCCCTAGGCGGCAAGCGACTCTTAACTTAACTAGTATTCAATATTTGCCATGAAATGTATATAAAGAACTAGTATTAACGTTAAATCTAATGTATATTTTTTTTCTCTTACGAGCAGTAATGCCAGAAAGAGGACGCTAGCTCTCTGATTGTGTGTGTTTGAGCTGCATCCTCTTCTTGCATCACTGTTTATCAGTTTAATTGTTAACAAACTGAATTTAAAGTAATTTATTTAATAATCTGGATTGAATCTGGATTTATCCAATAATCTTGTTGGAATTCAGAATATTAAACAGACTTTTGAGATTAGATGGAAAAAATTTTAGACGACTTGGTGCTGGGGAATTTAGTATTATTAACCAGAAAATTTGGTAAATTTAACAGGAAGAAATTAATCAGATTCATCTGGTAATTCAAGAATTCTGGTTCGTCCATTTTCCAACAGACATACTGGTTGAATCTACCAGAATTCTAATTAATGCAATTAGATATTTTTCTTAGTGTAGTATTAATATTAAATCCAAAGTATATTTTTTTTTTCTCTTACAAGCAGTAGTGCCAGAAAAAGGACGCTAGCTCTCTGATTGTGTGTGTTTGAGCTGCATCCTCTTCTTGCATCACTGTTTATCAGTTTAACAAACTGAATTTAAAATAATTTATTTAATAATCTGGATTGAATTTATCCAATAATCTTGTTGGAATTCAGAATATTAAACAGACTTTTGAGATTAGATGGAAAAAATTTTAGACGACTTGGTGCTGGGGAGTTTAGTATTATTATCCAGAAAATTTGGTAAATTTAACAGGAAGAAATTAATCAGATTCATCTGGTAATTCAAGAATTCTGGTTCGTCCATTTTCCAACAGACATACTGGTTGAATCTACCAGAATTCTAATTAATGCAATCAGATATTTTTCTTAGTGTAGTATTAATATTAAATCCAAAGTATATTTTTTTTCTCTTACAAGCAGTAGTGCCAGAAAAAGGACGCTAGCTCTCTGATTGTGTGTGTTTGAGCTGCATCCTCCTCTTGCATCACTGTTTATCAGTTTAACAAACTGAATTTAAAATAATTTATTTAATAATCTGGATTGAATTTATCCAATAATCTTGTTGGAATTCAGAATATTAAACAGACTTTTGAGATTAGATGGAAAAAATTTTAGACGACTTGGTGCTGGGGAGTTTAGTATTATTAACCAGAAAATTTGGTAAATTTAACAGGAAGAAATTAATCAGATTCATCTGGTAATTCAAGAATTCTGGTTCGTCCATTTTCCAACAGACATATTGGTTGAATCTACCAGAATTCTAATTAATGCAATCAGATATTTTTCTTAGTGTAGTATAATATTAAATCCAAAGTATATTTTTTTTCTCTTACAAGCAGTAGTGCCAGAAAAAGGACGCTAGCTCTCTGATTGTGTGTGTTTGAGCTGCATCCTCTTCTTGCATCATTGTTTATCAGTTTAACAAACTGAATTTAAAATAATTTATTTAATAATCTGATTGAATTTATCAATAATCTTGTTGGAATTCAGAATATTAAACAGATTTTTGAGATTAGATGAAAAAATTTTAGACGACTTGATGCTGGGAGTTTAGTATTATTAACCAGAAAATTTGGTAAATTTAACAGGAAGAAATTAATCAGATTCATCTGGTAATTCAAGAATTCTGGTTCATCCATTTTCCAACAGATATACTGGTTGAATTTACCAGAATTCTAATTAATGCAATCAGATATTTTTCTTAGTGTAGTATTAATATTAAATCCAAAGTATATTTTTTTTCTCTTACAAGCAGTAGTGCCAGAAAAAGGACGCTAGCTCTCTGATTGTGTGTGTTTGAGCTGCATCCTCCTCTTGCATCACTGTTTATCAGTTTAACAAACTGAATTTAAAATAATTTATTTAATAATCTGGATTGAATTTATCCAATAATCTTGTTGGAATTCAGAATATTAAACAGACTTTTGAGATTAGATAAAAAAAATTTTGGACGACTTGGTGTTGGGGAGTTTAGTATTATTAACTAGAAAATTTGGTAAATTTAACAGGAAGAAATTAATCAGATTCATCTGGTAATTCCTACAAGAATTCTGGTTCGTCCATTTTCCAACCGACATACTGATTGAATCTACCAGAATTCTAATTAATGCAATCAGATTTTTTCTCGTAAATAGAGAATTCCAAGAATCCTTTTTAATGATTTTAATCGCATTTTGTCGGTCACATTTGAATTATATAATATACCAAACAATGAGATATTTCGTATTAATTTAGAACTAGATAAAGAGACACGAGCTTGGGACTTGTACGCGCGCATAGAAGCACAAATAAGGAACATGATATCATCGCTTAGAGCAATTTCGGAATTGCAAAATCCCGCCATCAAGGACAGACATTGGCAAGAATTAATGGCTGAAACACGAGTGAGTAAATAATATCATTTAATGAGAGTCTCATTATTAGAAAATGATTAGACATGAAAAATGAGCCGTATAAAAAATATGACAAAATTATAATAAATGTTATATTTTTAAAATGCTATACTTTTATGACTGTTATATATTTTTTATATCAATTTTTATTAATTTATTTATTAATTTATTTTTATCAATTTATTTATATCAAACAGATAATTCCATGTGAGATAAAATCTAGTTGAACTCTAGTTAAACTCTGTTGATGCTATAGGTGAGATTCACTATGGATGATAAAACCACTTTGGAAAATCTGCTAAAATTAGAACTTCATAAATACGAGGAGGAAGTTAAGAACATAGTTGATAAGGCAGTTAAAGAAATGACCATGGAGAAAGTTCTCAAAGAACTGCACAACACGTGGAACACCCTCGAATTTGGTAAAGAGATGCACGAACGTACAAAACTCAACGTCTTAAAAATAAGTGAAGAAACGATTGAGATGTTGGAAGAGAATCAGGTATGTATTGATATTTTTTCCTCTTTAGCTTTGATCGAGAGATACAAAATATCGCTTTCCATAGGTGCAACTACAAAATATGTTGGATTCCAAATACGTCGCTTACTTCCTCGACGAAGTAATGGACTGGCAAAAGAAGCTTAGCAATGCAGACGCCACGATCAACGCATGGTTTCAAGTCCAACGAACGTGGATACATCTGGAGAGCATTTTTATCGGTTCGGAAGATATAAGAAGCCAATTACCAGAGGAATCAAAACGCTTTGAGAAGATAGACAAAGATTTTAAGGTGATTTTAAATCATTGAAGATTCTCTTAAAAATTTTAAAAAGGAATAAAACAAAGTATCGTAAACATGAATGATCATCAGCAAAGAAAGTTAAAAATTAATAATTTAAATATGCAACAATCCTCTGCAACAGTGCATAATTTATTTATTTCGGTAATTTATACAATTTTTCGATAAGAAAACAATACTGATTCAATATCCTCGGGTTTCCTATCAAGGATCTATTGAAGGAAATGTTGACCAACTTGAATGTAGTGAAGTCGATGAATAGACCGAAACTCCTGGATCGCTTGGAGGAATTGGAGAGACAATTGAACATTTGCGAAAAGGCATTGTCCGATTATCTGGAGACGAAGAAACTAATCTATCCACGATTCTATTTTATCTCGTCCGCTGATCTATTAGACATATTGAGCAATGGTAAAGGCCCATTTTTTCATCATACACTGAGAAAAATCGTTTGATTGTATCAACAAGACATATATGATTGAAGGCATTTTAGTTAAATCAAACAAGAAATTCTAGTTATCATGATAAGATTCGATTTTTTATAACTAGAACGTTTAATAGATTTTACTATAAGGATTTGGTTAGTATTTTCTGGTTGGATCTATAACATTTCTTGTTACATAAATTTCTTTGCTTGCTTCATAACTTAAATCGTATTAAATATTTGCCATAAAATGTATATAAAGAACTAGTATTAACATTAAATTTAAAGTATATTTTTTTTTCTCTTACGAGCAGTAATGCCAGAAAGAGGACGCTAGCTCTCTGATTGTGTGTGTTTGAGCTGCATCCTCTTCTTGCATCACTGTTTATCAGTTTAATTTCTAACCAACTGAACTTAAAATAATTTATTCAATAATCTGGATTGAATTTACGCAATAATCGTGTTGGAATTCAGAATATTAAACAGACTTTTGCGATTAGATGGAAAAAATTTTAGACGACTTGGTGCTGGGGAGTTTAGTATTATTAACTAGAAAATTTGGTAAATTTAACAGGAAGAAATTAATCAGATTCATCTGGTAATTCCTACAAGAATTTTGGTTCGTCCATTTTCCAACAGACATACTGGTTGAATCTACCAGAATTCTAATTAATGCAACCACATTTTTTTTCTCAGTGTAATATTAACATTAAATCCAAAGTATATAGTTTTTCTCTTACGAGCAGTAATGCCAGAAAGAGGACGCTAGCTCTCTGATTGTGTGTGTTTGAGCTGCATCCTCTTCTTGCATCACTGTTTATCAGTTTAATTTCTAACAAACTGAACTTAAAATAATTTATTCAATAATCTAGATTGAATTTATGCAATAATCGTGTTGGAATTCAGAATATTAAACAGACTTTTGAATTAGATGGAAAAAATTTTAGACGACTTGGTGCTGGGGAGTTTAGTATTATTAACCAGAAAATTTGGTAAATTTAACAGGAAGAAATTAATCAGATTCATCTGGTAATTCCTACAAGAATTTTGGTTCGTCCATTTTCCAACAGACATACTGGTTGAATCTACCAGAATTCTAATTAATGCAACCACATTTTTTTTCTCAGTGTAATATTAACATTAAATCCAAAGTATATAGTTTTTCTCTTACGAGCAGTAATGCCAGAAAGAGGACGCTAGCTCTCTGATTGTGTGTGTTTGAGCTGCATCCTCTTCTTGCATCACTGTTTATCAGTTTAATTTCTAACAAACTGAACTTAAAATAATTTATTCAATAATCTGGATTGAATTTATGCAATAATCGTGTTGGAATTCAGAATATTAAACAGACTTTTGAGATTAGATGGAAAAAATTTTAGACGACTTGGTGCTGGGGAGTTTAGTATTATTAACCAGAAAATTTGGTAAATTTAACAGGAAGAAATTAATCAGATTCATCTGGTAATTCCTACAAGAATTTTGGTTCGTCCATTTTCCAACAGACATACTGGTTGAATCTACCAGAATTCTAATTAATGCAACCACATTTTTTTTCTCAGTGTAATATTAACATTAAATCCAAAGTATATTTTTTTTCTCTTACGAGCAGTAATGCCAGAAAGAGGACGCTAGCTCTCTGATTGTGTGTGTTTGAGCTGCATCCTCTTCTTGCATCACTGTTTATCAGTTTAATTTCTAACAAACTGAACTTAAAATAATTTATTCAATAATCTGGATTGAATTTATGCAATAATCGTGTTGGAATTCAGAATATTAAACAGACTTTTGAGATTAGATGGAAAAAATTTTAGACGACTTGGTGCTGGGGAGTTTAGTATTATTAACCAGAAAATTTGGTAAATTTAATAGGAAGAAATTAATCAGATTCATCTGGTAATTCCTACAAGAATTTTGGTTCGTCCATTTTCCAACAGACATACTGGTTGAATCTACCAGAATTCTAATTAATGCAACCACATTTTTTTTCTCAGTGTAATATTAACATTAAATCCAAAGTATATTTTTTTTCTCTTACGAGCAGTAATGCCAGAAAGAGAACGCTAGCTCTCTGATTGTGTGTGTTTGAGCTGCATCCTCTTCTTGCATCACTGTTTATCAGTTTAATTTCTAACAAACTGAACTTAAAATAATTTATTCAATAATCTGGATTGAATTTATGCAATAATCGTGTTGGAATTCAGAATATTAAACAGACTTTTGAGATTAGATGGAAAAAATTTTAGACGACTTGGTGCTGGGGAGTTTAGTATTATTAATCAGAAAATTTGGTAAATTTAATAGGAAGAAATTAATCAGATTCATCTGGTAATTCCTACAAGAATTTTGGTTCGTCCATTTTCCAACAGACATACTGGTTGAATCTACCAGAATTCTAATTAATGCAACCAAATTTTTTTTCTCAGTGTAATAATGTAAAACTTGTCTCACCGTTACTAACACGCGCGCTTCATCGCGACAGGAAACAATCCCGAAATGGTTTGCAAGCATTTGTCGAAATTGTACGATTCGTTGGCGAAGCTGCAGTGGAAACTCGAAGGAGGAAAGCCGACGAAGCATGCCAATGGAATGATAGCGAAGGACGGCGAGGAAATGGCCATGTATGGGACATGCGATTGCACAGGAAAGGTATAAAATTAACTAATTTTGTAAGACATGCAATGTGAAATGATACATAAACACAGCATTTCTATTGACTCGCGGCTGAGCATCATTAATTTAAAATTCTTATTTCTCGACAATTTCTTGAAACACGCCAACTTTATTTGCCTTCGAATTACAAGACTAACCATGTGCGAATTTTCCTTTTTTAAATATATTAAAATATATTTAATATATTAAAATTAATATATTAAAATTAATATATTAAATATATTAAATATATTAAAATAAATATATTAAATATATTAAAATATTAATATATTAAATATATTAAATATATTAAAATTAATATGTTAAATATATTAAAATATATTTAATAAGAACATTGGAAAAAGAAAGTATCTTCGTATACATCTCTTCTCGTATTTAAACTTCAGAATCAAGACAATCATCTGATTCGCAGGTTGAGATCTGGCTGAATCGCGTTACGGATGCAATGAGACGAACCGTGAGATATCGCATCAGTCAGGCTGTCGTCTCGTACGATGAGAAGCAACGCGACTCTTGGATTCTAGATCACGAGGCACAGCCGGCCCTATGCGGGACCCAAATCTGGTGGACTTACGAGGTGAATATGGCATTCGCACGACTCGAAGAGGGATTCGAAAATGCGCTCAAGGATTATCAGAAGAAGCAGATCGGTCAATTAAACGTGCTAATTGCAATTTTACGCAGCGAGCTAAATGAAAACGATCGGCAAAAAATCATGACTATTTGTACCATCGACGTGCACGCGCGCGACGTTGTCGGAAAATTAATATCTATCAAAGCGGACAACTCCTCCAACTTTCAATGGCAGTCGCAATTAAGACACAGGTGATTCTAATGCAGAGTTTTTCAATCAAGATTTTACAGACGAAACTTTGCAATTGTTCAATTTTTTTAGGAAAATGATATAGAGCCTTTAATATATTGACAAATTAAATTATATTCACTTTAAAATCATCAAAAGTTAGTATTAATATTGTTCTGCATTTAATCTGCATAAACGAAAAGGCAATGTTTTATAAAAATATTCAAAGTTTTTTATAGGGCCGAATGTGAGAAAGTTTGTACAAAATATCAATTTATTATCTAAAGATTCTAATTATGTAAGAAAAAAATGTTTTCATCAGAAGCTTATTTTATCAGATTTAAATATATATTTTTAATCTTGCTTCATATCTTTTTTTTTATTACCTGAAAAAATTCAAAAATTCAAAAAATTAATATTTAGGAATAGATTGAAAGAAATTGATTTTGAAAATGATAATACAAGCCTGTGAGGGTCAGTTACAAAAAGCAGAGTAAGTCTGATAGATTTTTTGGACGCTGGAAAACGAATCTGGCCACAGAATTTCTCTACAATTTTAGTTAACTAATCCAAAAATTTTTGGCAAATTTCATGAATTTATTATGAAAAAACCTAATTTTTTAAAATATTTCTGCCAATGGCATCGTATAATACTAATCTTTATCTTTCAAATTCATTTTCGATTGTCGTTGCACAATTTTTTTTCGCTGAGATATACAATTATGAATTTATAAGAAAATTTACATATCAGGCATCAATATTACAGATTCACCAGCATCTTGAAATTTGAAAAGGCTTACATATACCAGGTTGTCCAAAAAAGTTCTGTAAAAATATATCTAATACAGTTGTTATACATTTTGATACATTTTTCTAAATTTTATATCTTTTTGTTATGATTCTATCCGTCATATTAAACGTACCATTTTTAATTTCAAAAAATAACAGAAGACGATTCAAAAATTTATGTTTTTACTCAAATTTTGACTCGTGATTAGATAAAGAGGTAACACGATTGAATTAAAATGGTTTATTGAACCACTATGCATGACCAGTCATATAACTTGTATATCTCAGCGAAAAAAATTAAATTTCAAAAAATTAAATTCCATCATAATAAATTCATGAAATTTGCCGAAGTAGCCATTTTTGAACTATTTAATCACAAATTACTCAAAAGCCTGATGTGCTGGAGAAATTCTGCGGCGATTCGTTTTCAACGTCAAAAAATCTATCAGATTCACCTACTTCGCTTTTTGTAACCAACCAAACCTAAAATTTCGCAGACCTGTGTAATTAGAATACACTCTCGCATTGAGAATGTCCATCCTCGGTATTTATTTAATTTTCGTTCCGGTGCTGTGTACACACTAATCTTTTCGCGCAGATGTGCAGGAAGAAAAAAAAAAATAAATTGAAAAAGATTGTTTCTCGCCTCCGTAGGTGGGACGACAAATCGGAAGATTGCTTCGCCAACATTTGCGACGCATGTTTCATATACGCTTACGAGTACCTGGGTAACGTGCCACGACTGGTAATTACGCCGTTGACGGACAGATGCTACATTACGTTGACGCAATCGTTGCATCTGATAATGGGCGGTGCACCGGCTGGGCCCGCAGGGACGGGGAAAACCGAGACGACCAAGGACTTGGGTAGAGCCCTCGGACAAATGGTTTATGTCTTCAACTGTTCCGAACAAATGGACTATAAAGTATAGTCTCCTTTTTTCCCCTGTCTCTCTCTCTCTCTCTCTTTCTCTTTTTCTCTTTTTCCTTCCCTCCCTCCTTGTTCCGTTCCTCGCGTCCTACACGAAGGTTTCTCGCGCGAGAAATGTTCAATTTGAAGAGATTCCGGTGTTGCCGGGTGTTCTTATGAAATAAACGTTCGTTTCTCTACTATCGGTTATTACATATTACACAAAGTGCTTTTAAACTTTCGAGTTACGTTGTACTTAACGGAGCGTAAAATTGAGTTTCGTTATCTCTCGTGACTTTTAACTCCTCCTGCATACATTTCTATGTTTGTGACATTAACACACACGCGCGTTTTCGAATATATTGACTCATACGTGCAAAGGAAGGAAGCGAGAGAGACTGCAATATTTCTTTCCAACACAAATATTTAAAATCTATTACCAGTTTCTCTCGTTAAATTAAGGATGTTTTGTACCTATTTTCAAAATATTGAGAATTTAACGAAAATTGTACGGAGTGTCTTTACATATCTTTAGAATCTACAATTTTTAAATCGATTCACTAAAGCGTTTACAAATTATAAGGATTTTAATTTGCACCGAATTAACATGTGTTCTTGGGAAACGTATAACAACGTCGATTCAAATGACACATGTCTAGTTTAACATTCTAAGAAAAGTTAAAGTAAATCTTCAAATAATCTTGAACTTTAACATACAAAATAATCAAAATTATAAAGTCAAATGTTTCTATTACAAATAATTTAAGTTAAAACAATTACTTATAAGTTAATGTCTTACAACAATTCTTACGAGTTTCTGTGACTATTTTTTCATGTAATTTTTAATTAATTTGTATGTTATTTTTACATTACACTTAAAGTAACAATAACAAAAATAAATGTGAAGTATTGTGTCAATTATTTAACACTTTTAGTTTGTCAATAAGTAACGTATGACGAATGAGTTATTTTAATTTAAGGATGTTTTGTACCTATTTTCAAAATATTGAGAATTTAATGAAAATTGTACAGAATGACCTTACATATGTTTAGAATTTTCAGTACAATATTTAAATCGATTCACTAAAGCGTTCACAAGTTATAAGGATTTTAATTTGCACCGAATTAACATGTGTTCTTATGGGAAACGTATAACCACGTCGATTCAAATGATAAAAATACATGGAAATAATATTCAGAATTTGTTTAAAATTTGCAAAAGTTTAGCTACAGAGGAAATATTTAGTCAAATAATGTTATACAAGTACTAACTGGTTAAAAATATATTAAATATAATTCAATAAAGTTAGTCATGTATCTGTCACAAGGCGATATTCTCTGCCAAAAGTGAATCATTTCGATTAACAAAATTCGGAATATTTCAGTAAAAAACGCAATCAATATTAAAAAATACATCTCTGCGCTGTAGCCAAGATCAAATTGTAATATTCCACAATTTCTTACTATTTCAGCTACATTTTGCTAGGATTGTACATACAAAACATCTTTAATCTCAGAATTTTCGTTATCATATACGCGAATGTGTTTATTACTTACGGGCTCCAGCATAAATCTCGTGGATTGATATATAAAATCCTTGCTCTGGATACCGTTGCTAGTGTAGCTGTCCTGAAATAAAAACAGAAACATAAAACAAGAAGATAATTATCATAAATAAAAATTTTCGCCATTTATTCGCATTAAATTTTAATATTTAGTTAATTCAAACAAAAAGTAAAATTAATTTCAAAATACACCAAAAGTGGATATATTCGTCAATATTGATTTTCAGCTATTTTTTGCTGAGATTGTACATACAAAACATCCTTAAGTAAAATATAAAATTCACAAATTCAATTTTATCTTCCCTTGAACAGTCTTGCGGCAATATATACAAGGGATTAGCGCAGACCGGGGCATGGGGTTGCTTCGACGAATTCAATAGAATTTCCGTCGAGGTCCTATCGGTGGTCGCCGTGCAAGTGAAATGCGTTCTAGACGGAGTGAAAAACCGAAAGAAGAAATTCTTCTTCTTTGGGGAGGAGCTCAACATCGTCGACACGGTTGGCATGTTTATAACGATGAATCCCGGTTATGCCGGTAGAACGGAATTACCGGAAAACTTGAAGACGCTATTCCGGTAAATGAGTCGAGAATTAATTATTGCATCAGTAGATAATCGGCGAAATTGATCGACAGGCCCTGTGCTATGGTGGTGCCCGATTTTGAGCTAATTTGCGAGATCATGTTGGTGGCCGAGGGTTTCCAGGAGGCGAGATTACTAGCGAGAAAGTTCATTACTCTGTATCTGCTGTGTCGTGAACTCTTATCCAAGCAAGATCATTACGACTGGGGTCTGAGAGCCATCAAGTCCGTTTTGGTCGTCGCTGGAAAGTTGAAGCGTGACGATAGGGAAAGGCCGGAGGAGCAAGTGTTGATGAGAGCTTTAAGAGATTTTAATATGCCAAAAATCGTGACTGATGATGTGCCAGTATTCATGGGATTAATAGGTAAGGGAGGAAGATTAATATTATTTGGAGATATCGAAAAATTTCTGTACAGAAAAACAAGCTTATCGACACAGCATATTTTATCAATACTTTCAACGAATTTCGTTGATTATTGCTGAAAAATTATTCACCGTTTCGATATCTTTTTCAAGAAAAAAATATCAATATTAAATAAATAAAAAATTTGTAGGTAGAAAATAATTTAATATTAAATGTAATATTAATTTAATATTAAATTTAATATTAAATTACTATTAATTAATTTAATATTAAATTTAATATTAAATTATTTTAAATTAATATTAATTTAATATTAAATTAATATTAAATTTAATATTAATTTAATATTAATTTAATATTAAATATTTTAATATGGATTTTCCGAAACATTGATGTTTCCCTTTATTTGTTCAGGAGATTTGTTTCCCGCGTTGGACGTGCCGCGAAAGAGAGATCTGGATTTCGAAACGATGATCAAATCTGCGGCTCTCGACTTGAAGCTGCAACCGGAAGATGGATTTATTTTAAAGGCACATATATTATACGCAATATTCGCCTTGGATAATTGATGAATATATACAAAGGTAGAGAGATCAAAGGAAATTCTCCTTGACTCTTCGATTCGCCTCAGGTAGTACAATTGGAGGAGTTGCTTTACGTTCGACACTCTGTCTTTATTGTCGGCCTCGCCGGGACCGGTAAGACCGAAGTCTGGAAAACGCTCAACAGGACGTACACGAATCAAAGGCGTAAACCGCATTACAACGATCTGAATCCAAAGGCGGTGACCAACGACGAGTTATTTGGTGTCATTAATCCGGCGACGAGGGAATGGAAAGACGGGTTGGGAGACAGCGCACCCGTCAATTTTCAGCCGCGCGATCAAACGCGCTACGCGCTCGTATTAGGCCGCGCTCGATAATAAGCACTCCCGCGACTTTCTATTCTTATTGCCACTTTTGCAGGTTGTTGTCCATGATAATGAGGGAGCAAGCCAATATGCTCAGCAACGGCCCAAAGTGGATCGTGTTCGACGGCGACATCGATCCGATGTGGATCGAATCATTGAATACCGTGATGGACGATAACAAGGTCTTGACGTTGGCGAGTAACGAGAGAATTGCGTTGACCAAACAAATGCGCCTTCTCTTCGAAATCTCGACTTTAAGGTGATTTCTTTCATGTTGTAACTTTCAAAACAATCTACTATTTGTTTAATTTTTTTATTTGTTATTATAAGAAAGTAAACTATATTTGCGAATTTTCAATTGCTTCGAATAATAGGCGAATTAATCAAACATTTTACTTTATATTTAATATTTCTAGAAAAGAATAAAAAAATTGAATATGTATTACTTAAACTTTGAAAAAAAAAATCAATCAAAGCTTCTCAATTAAACTGAAAGAAAAAATTGAAATTAATTTTACTTTGTTTGAATTAACTAAATAGTAAAATTTAATGCGAAAAAATAAATGGCGAAAACTTTTATTTATGATAATTATCTTCTTGTTTTATGTTTCTGTTTTTATTTCAGGACAGCTACACCAGCAACGGTGTCCAGAGCAGGGATTTTATATATCAATCCACAAGATTTAGGCTGGAGCCCGTAAGTAATAAACACATTCGCGTATATGATAACGAAAATTCTGAGATTAAGAATGTTTTGTATGTACAATTCTAGCAAAAAGTAGCTGAAATAGTAAGAAATTGTGGAATTTTACAATTTGATCTTGGCTACAATGCAGAGATGTATTTTTTAATATTTATTGCGTTTTTACTGAAATATTCCGAATTTTGTTAATCGAAATGATTAACTTTTGACAGAGAATTTCGCCTCGTGACAGATACATGACTAACTTCATTGAATTATATTTAATATCTTTTCAATCAGTTAGTACTTGTATAATATTATTTGACCAAATATTTCCTCCGTATCTAAACTTTTGCAAATTTTAAACAAATTCTGAATATTATTTCCATGTGTTTTTGTCATTTGAATCGACGTGGTTATACGTTTCCCATAAGAACACATGTTAATTCAGTGCAAATTAAAATCCTTATAACTTGTGAACGCTTTAGTGAATCGATTTAAAAATTGTACTGAAGATTCTAAACATATGTGAGGACAAATTCTGTACAATTCTGTACAATTTTCATATATTTCTCAACAAATTGATTAAAAATTACATGAAAAAATAGTTACAGAAATTCGTAAGAATTTTGTAGGACATTAATTTATAATAGTAATTATTTTAACTTAAATTATTTGTAATAGAAACATGTGACTTTAATTTTGATTATTTTGTATGTTAAAGTTCAAGATTATTTGAAGATTTACTTTAACTTTTCTTAGAATGTTAAACTAGACATGTGTTTTTGTCATTTGAATCGACGTGGTTATACGTTTCCCATAAAAACACATGTTAATTCGGAGCAAATTAAAATCCTTATAACTTGTGAGCGTTTTAGTGAATCGATTTAAAAATTGTACAGAAGATTCTAAAATATGTAAGGACATTCTGTACAATTTTCATTAAATTCTCAATATTTTGAAAATAGGTACAAAACATCCTTAAAAAATTTCGAAGAAAATTTTGATCATTAAATTTTAACAAAAATTTGATTTATGCGACCAGCTTTTCTAATTTGATTAATCTATTTTTATTATTTAATAAGCAATTGCGATTTTTAGAATTAGACTTCAAATCAAGAAACTTGTTTCACAGATTCATCACAAGCTGGATAGAGACGAGAGATCACTCCGAACGTGCTAATCTATCGATTCTCTTTGAAAAATATATTCCACCCCTGCTGGAAGTGACTAAATCTAGATTTAAGAAGATCACTCCCTTACCAGAGATATGTCATCTGGAAATGCTTTGCCACTTACTTGATTGTTTCCTGACTAAAGACAATGTACCGCCGGACTGTCCGAAAGAATGGTAGCGATATTAATGATAATAATGAAATTATGATGTTCTCTACGATATAAAAACAAATTTGCACGATAAAAAAAACATATGTAAAAAGAATATTGCGTACGATACTCGTACTACATTTCACGTTTCAGGTACGAATTGTATTTTGCATTCGCCTGCATTTGGGCGTTCGGTTCCGCGATGTTTCGAGATCAGCTGATAGATTGGCGAAACAAATTTAGTAGATGGTGGCAAAATGAATTCAGAACCGTCAAGTTTCCAACGGGCGGGACTGTATTCAGTTATTTCATAGAACCAGAAACGAAAAAATTGGTTCCCTGGACTGAGAAAGTCGTCCAGTTCGAATTGGATTCGGATATTCCGCTTCAGGTTCCTTTCACTAAGTTATTTTAAAGCAAGGACATAAGGTGCAATTACACAAATAAAATTATCATTAGAAATTATTCCTTGGTTATAGAGACTGGTGCTACATTAAATATTCAAATTGCAATGATATGTTTTCTATGAGCAAGTCTAATTATAAGCAAACAAATTTTGTACATATATTAAACATTATTATTGTATTTAATTTTAATGCAGTCTGCTTTGGTGCCAACCGGAGAAACGGTGCGTTTGCGTTTCTTCATGGATTTGTTGATAAAGAAACGCGTCCCGGTCATGTTAGTGGGTGGAGCAGGCTCCGGAAAAAGTGTCATCATGGCAGACAAATTGGCGAATTTGGCAGATAATTACAACGTCGCAAATGTTCCCTTCAATTACTACACTACATCAGGTGAATAAGAGGGACAAGTCAGTTTTTAGAAAACAGTGAGACTTTTATAAAGCCCTTATAAACTTTTACTTTTATATATTTCTCGAAATGTTCAAAGTAACTTGTTCAAAGTAACTATTTTCATAAAATTAAAAATTCTTATTTAAAAAATTATTCTCTATCCCATATCTAAAAAAAAAATAAATAATAAAAATTTTAAAAATCTATTTAGAAAGTGTTGATATTTATTTTTTTTAGAGATTGCGTTTTATAAGCACTGCAATTTTTCGATGTATAAATATATTTTGCTTATTCGCGAATGTAATATTGTGATAATAGTCAATTGTATCATACATATTGCAATTATCGTAGCTTTCACTTTAATCAACGAATCGTATTGATTTTCGTTTTTCGTCCGAGAAGAGATGTTGCAGAAAGTGCTCGAGAAACATTTGGAGAAGAAAGCGGGACATAATTACGGGCCACCGGGTACGAAACTGTTGGTATATTTCATAGACGACATGAACATGCCGGAAGTGGATACTTACGGGACTGTACAACCTCATACTCTCATCAGGCAACATATGGATTACAATCATTGGTAATAACTTTAATATATTGACTATGATTGCTACCCGAAGCGCGAGGAAAATTGATTTTCACTGAGGAATTAATTTAGTGACCGCACGAAATAATTTGCTAAAGAAATTTCTTATCTTTTAAATAAAAGATTCATCTTTTAACTTTTACTTGAAATATATTTATTTTTAAACATCTTTTCTTTTAATTTATATATTGTCTGAATTACTGATTTTATCATGCTTTAAATATGCTTTTTCTAATCGAGAAACTAAAATAATAATGAAAAAGATGCTTGCTGCAGGTATGACAGGACGAAACTAACTTTAAAGGAGATACATAATACGCAATACGTATCTTGTATGAATCCTACGGCGGGTAGTTTCACCATAGATCCACGCTTGCAGAGACACTTCGCCGTGTTTGCCATCAGGTAAAATTATTACATTCTCGTTTACTTATGCAATATCACGGAAGCGAATATTCATCATCGTACACAGAAAAAAATAAGTGTCAAATCAAAACTTAAAAACTCCTAAAATTAAAGAAACATGAGAAACATGAGAAACATTAAATATTAAATGTAATAATATTATGGGAAGAATATCAAATTGTTCAATTGTTAGTTTTTATTGCACAGAAAAAAAATGTGTCAAATCAAACCTTATATACTTAAACTAACGCGTTCATTGTTTTGTATATACGCAACAATTTATAATCTCCTAAGAAGAATTTAATAATTTTAAATTTCAACAATATTATTAGTTTTATTTTAACATTGTAATTGTCACCTCAAGAATGTTATCCAAAAGTCTCAAGGCTACACAATTTTAATCCCGAAGCTTTTTTAGATTATTTTCCTTTCAGATTTGAGGAGAGAGATAACTAGTCTTTTCAGGATCCTAAAATTAAATGAGAAACATTAAATATTAAATGTAATAATATTATGGGAAGAATATCAAATTGTTCAATTGTTAGTTTTTATTACACAGAAAAAAAATAAGTGTCAAATCAAACCTTATATACTTAAACTAACGCGTTCATTGTTTCGCATATACGCAACAATTTATAATCTTCTTAGAAGAATTTAATAATTTTAAATTTCAACAATATTATAGTTTTATTTTAATATTGTAATTGTCACCTCAAGAATGTTATCCAAAAGTCTCAAGGCTACACAATTTTAATCCCGAAGCTTTTTTAGATTATTTTTCTTTCAGATTTGGGGAGAGAGATAACTAGTCTTTTCAGGATCCTAAAATTAAATGAGAAACATTAAATATTAAATGTAATAATATTATGGGAAGAATATCAAATTGTTCAATTGTTAGTTTTTATTGCACAGAAAAAAAATAAGTGTCAAATCAAACCTTATATACCTAAACTAACGCGTTCATTGTTTCGTATATACGCAACAATTTATAATCTCCTTAGAAGAATTTAATAATTTTAAATTTCAACAATATTATAGTTTTATTTTAATATTGTAATTGTCACCTCAAGAATATATAATTATTTAATTCTACTTTAAGAAAATTATAATCTTTGATTTGAAAATATTATTATTTTTCATCTAACATTGTTTCTTTTCCATTCAAGAAAATTAAATCTTAACTCATAAGAATATATTTTTCTTGATTAAACTATATAAAATGGCTTTATTCAAGCAAATAATTATTCAAATAATTATATTTTTCTTTAATTAACGCAATATAATCTCATTTCAAGATTTCCATATTAAAACTAAATATATTTTCAAAAGAAGAATGTCCTTTTTTCTGTGTATCTTAATACGCTAACTTGTCTTTGATATCGAGAGTACTTCACGCCAACTACGAATATCTAATAAAGTGTGCTATTATGTATCTTCCGGAGAGCATTTTGCAAAAATAATCAATTGCACCTGTTAATTGAATAAAATTATAAAGCTAAATGATGGAGATTTTTTATCTTTTCATCTATATAATTTATATTATTAATCTTTTATATTGATTTCAAAATCGTTTCTTTCTGTTTTTTATTTAATGACATTAGTATCAAATATAGATGTGCACATATTGGCCAAGGCAACGAATAAAAATCAATTATAAAAGAAAATTCCTTATCATAAATATTATTTATATATTAGAGAAGCTATAGTAATCGTGAATGTTAAGTCAATTCGTTCTCCTTCTTAAAGATATTACTATTGTCACACGATATTAATCATGTGATAAATTTTCAAAAATGCATCTACGTTTCCATGTTTGATATTTCAAAACAAGAATGTTCTTTTTTTCTGTGTACCGTATCCTATTTGGCGCTTGCTTCCCAGCTTTCCACAAGTCGAGGCGCTCAAGCTGATATACAGCCAGATCCTCGAGCAGCACGTGACCGATCCTCGGGAAAAGTTTCAACCGACGGTGCAGAGGTTCACGGGTCCCCTGATAAACACCGCGTTGTACCTTCACGATAAGATCTCCACGACCTTCCTACCGACGGTCGCCAAGTTTCATTACATGTTCAATTTGCGCGATTTAACCAACATATTTCAAGTAAGAAACGCGAGAGAGAGAGAATCCGCAATTTTCTCCAAATTAACGTAATATCGCGCAGGGAATGCTGTTCGTCCACGGTGACATCTTATCACTTCCGAGTCACATAATCGGACTTTACGCTCACGAAGCGACGAGGGTGTATCGCGACAAATTGGTCAACTCTGATGATCAGAGAATGTTCGATCGGCTGCTGCACGAGGCTCTTCGGAAAAATGTACCCGTATGTTTAATAAAGAGATCGGAATGGAATTTCTTTCTTTTAGATCTGAACTATATTTTTATAATGTTCCATAATGTTTACTTATGCTGGATGTTTTAATTCAATTCAATGACGTTAGGAGCTGAATGAAAGCGAAATGGGTTTGGAGCAGCCGTTAATATACTGTCATTTCGCGGAAGGAATCGGCGAACCCAAGTATGCGCCTGTCAAGAATTGGAATCTGCTTGTAAAATTACTCGACGAAGCTTTGCTTAATTATAATGAGCTGGTACTATCTCAATCAAGTATTATCATCCGCGACTAATTTTCTACACGGCACACTTGTTTCTAATTTTCGTTTAATTAATTGTATTGCATGACACAATAACTGTATTATGATGAAAATGTAATTTATTTTTTAATATAAAAATTATTTTTTATATGTTTATTTTATTATTACTGAATGTTCACACAGAAAAGAAATAAGTGTCAAATCAAAATTTATATATTTAAACTAACGCGTTCATTGTTTCGTATATACGCAACAATTTATAATCTCCTTAGAAGAATTTAATAATTTTAAATTTCAATAATATTAGTTTTATTTTAATATTGTAATTGTCACCTCAAGAATGTTATCCAAAAACTACACAATTTTAATCCCAAAACTTTTTTAGATTATTTTCTTCTCAGATTTGGGAAAAGAGATAATTAGTCTTTTCAGGATCCTAAAATTAAATGAGAAACATTAAATATTAAATGTAATAATATTATGGGAAGAATATGAAATTGTTCAATTGTTAGTTTTATTACACAAAAAATAAATAAGTGTCAAATCAAAACTTGTATACTTAAACTAACGCGTTCATTGTTTCGTATATATACGCAACAATTTATAATCTCCTTAGAAGAATTTAATAATTTTAAATTTCAACAATATAATGGTTTTATTTTAATATTGTAATTGTTACCTCAAGAATATATAATTATTTAATTCTACTTTCAGAAAATTATAATCTTTGATTTGAAAATGTTATTTTCCATCTAACATTGTTTCTTTTTCATTCAAGAAAATTAAATCTCAAATCATAAGAATATATTTTTCTTGATTAAACTATATAAAATGGCTTCATTCAAGTAAACAGTTATTCAATCAATTATATTTTTCTTTAATTAACGCAATATAATCTCTTTTCAAGATTTTTCATGTTAAAACTAAATATATTTTCAAAACAAGAATGTCCTTTCTTTCTGTGCAATAATAGACAGCTTCCTTTTTTCATTAATTTATATAAATGACATTTTTTAAATAATTTCAACATTAAAATGTATTTTCATCATTTCTTTCAAGAGATTCTACCAAGATAAAATTCTTCATCATTTCTTTCAAGAGATTCTACCAAGATAAAATTCTTCTGAAAATAAAGCTTCAACAGATCTTATCTGAATTTCTAAAGATACTGTCTTTTAATCGCTCACAGTTATTATTGATAAATGTGCCGCTTATTAATCAATCACTATGTATGACATGACGACATATTCTGTTATTTTTTTATATAGGTGTCTGCAATGAATCTGGTATTATTCGAGGACGCCGTGTATCACGTGTGTCGTATTAATAGAATATTGGAAGCGCCGAGGGGCAATGCACTTCTTGTGGGCGTAGGTGGTAGCGGCAAACAATCCTTGTCACGACTAGCTTCTTTCGTTTCCTCGTTGGAGGTAAGCAGGCCTTTTTATTGATTAGGCATCACAGACACACTGTGCCCAAGTCCTAACTTCTCGAGCCTCGAGGAAAATATTCGATAAAGTGCATCACGACAACCGACAAGTCGGTTTTGATTTATTCAAGTAGAGAGTAAATAAATAAGAGACACAGAAAAAAAGCTCGATTATTTTTTCCCAAATTGTTGAAAAAATTTCGAACGAGTATCTTGAACTTTTCTCTTTGAAATTGGATGTGAACTTTTAAGTGTAAACTAGGTATTTCAAGTACAACTGCGTAAAGGTTACTCGTTAAACGAGTTGAAAGCTGACTTGGCCGTGTTGTATCTGAAAGCTGGCGTGAAGGGTATCGGTATTACTTTCTTAATGAGCGATTCACAAGTCGCTGAGGAAAAATTCTTGGTCGTTGTGAATGATATGCTGGCGTCGGGGGAGATCACGGACCTGTTGACTGACGAAGAAGTGGATAACGTCATTAATGCCGTGCGTAACGAGGTAAAATACACGATGTAACGCTATTTTATGATACTGTCAGAGTATCCTTTATATCGAGATAACCAGAGATACAGAGAGAGAATTTGTAAATATTATTCAGAATATCTAGCTTCACTTCAAGTATTACTTTAAATTTATCCAAAATTCATTCGGAGAACAAAATTTCGCTGTTTTATTTTAACTTGTATTTATTTATCGCGATTATAGAAAACAGAAAATATGCGATTTTTTAAATTATTTCGAAATAAATCGGATACTCATTGTCAGATAATAAGTACTCGAAAAAAGCCAGGGATTAATATCGCTAATTAATTAATATCACTCTTTATACAGGTCAAGCAGACCGGAATAATCGACACCAAAGAGAACTGCTGGAAATTTTTCATCGAACGCGTGCGAAGGCAATTGAGATGCGTCCTGTGTTTCTCGCCAGTAGGGGCGACCCTACGAAAAAGGGCCAGGCAGTTCCCCGCAATAGTAAATTGCACCGCGATCGACTGGTTTCAGGACTGGCCGCAAACGGCTCTAGAATCCGTGTCGGCGACGTTTTTGGAGGTATAACACATTTTACACGCGGTTATCTCTCCCAACAACCACAAAATTGTCCGAATTGGTTCTAACATAAATTTAAATGAGGTGTATTATAATCTTAAGTGAGATATAATATAGTTCTTTTACGTGATATTATCATAGTTACGTACACAGTAAAAAATAAAATGTTTTTAACATTTTTCACGTGTCCAGGAAAATCCACTCTAAATTTTAAGTTAAACTAACTCGTTCGTCGTATGTTTCTTATCGACAAACTAAAAATGTTAAATAATTGACACAATACTTTACATTTATTTTTGTTATTGTGACTTTAAGTGTAATGTAAAAATAACATACGAATTAATTAAAAATTACATGAAAAAATAGTTACAGAAATTCGTAAGAATTGTTGTAGGACATTAACTTATAATAGTAATTATTTTAACTTAAATTATTTGAAATAGAATTTAACTTATAATTATTTTAACTTAAATTATTTGTAATAGAAACATTTGATTTTAGTAAAGATTATTTTGTATGTCAAAGTTCAAGATTATTTGAAGATTTACTTTAACTTTTCTTAGAATGTTAAACTGATGAGACATGTTGATTGTTTAAAATAATTATGTTAAAAAATATACAAACATAATATTCCATTTCTAAGAGACAAAGTGTTAAGAAATTGACATAAATATAACATATGAAAACGTTATAAAAATAATAACATATAAGTTGTACGTCAATTTTACATTAATCAAAATGTAGTAACGCAAGAAAATTTTAACATAGGGACGCACAATTTTTTTACTGTGTATATATAAAATTAAAGGTCTAATTTTTCAACGATGTATAGTATTGCAAATTTTTCAACGATGTATAGTATTGCAAAATTTACCTTAATTTGATTTCAAGAAATTAATAAAAATTTGATGTATTAATTTAGAAATATGTTCAACATTTATAATCCATTAATTATAAAATGCAAAAATAAAATGTTATTTATAATTTTAATTTTTCTAAAAAAGTTACAACTATAATTTTATATCTTTATGTACTAGGAGTTAAGGGAGTTGCCGGTTGAATATCGAACTTCCGTATCACTCTTCATGTCCTTTGTTCATATGAGCGTGAACAATATATCCGCGCTTTATTTGCAAAATGAAAGGAGATACAACTATACGACGCCGAAATCATTTCTCGAGCAAATTTCTTTGTACTCCAAATTGTTAACAGAAAAAACGCATGATTTGAAGGCAATGATATCGCGTCTCATCGATGGATTAGTGAAGCTCGCATCCTGCGCCATTCAGGTATATTTTCTGCTTTCTTTTCAGAATTTTATAATTTTACTCATTGTCAACATTCTAATTTTCATTTTTGCTTCCTGCATAAAATTTTAAAATATTAAATATTGAATTTTATTTTCTAAATCTAGATCTGATAATGAAAAATCAAAAGTTTCTGAAAAATAACCGATTAAAATATTTCACAACTAGATTTTTCGCCTAAATACTTTTGTGCTCAGAATAAAAATGGGATCGAAATTTTAATTTAAATTAAACATTCAATATTCAAGTTTTATTAACTTTTCATCGTCATTAACTTTTCAATTCAAATGAGAAAAAAATTGTTGACAGAAAATTCACTTTGCTTATATCACTTACGGTTCTGTACATATATTTGTGCGTGCTTCGCCTCTCTTATATATTCCGCGTATAATATACATAATGCACATATGTTACGAGCGCGTTAGGGGTAGCCGATTATGGCTGGCAGGCGGGTGGCAAGAAGCTCTTGCTGCGGGCGCTTCTTACGTCCATCTTCTGAGTTATCTTTTCGCGAAGTAGGTCGACGAGTTAAAGATCATTCTGACCGCTCAAGAGATCGAGTTGAAGAAAAGGAACGAAATAGCCGACAGGATACTGACCGAGGTACGCGCGGAGAACGCGAAAGCGGAGGCGGAGAAGGCTATCGGTAAGATATCGGGGAGCGTTTAATCGCCGACGAGATAACGAGCACGATTTTCGGGATTTCAGTGACCGAGGAAGAGGCGAAAGTGGCTGAGATCAAGGAGGTGGTGTCGGAAAATCAGAGACGTTGCGACGAAGACTTGGCCCGCGCGGAGCCGGCGGTGAGGCAGGCCGAAGCTGCGCTCGATACTTTGAACAAGGTTAACGAACTCGCGATATGTATTGCAATCGAAGCCGAAAACACGAGTGGGCCGAGTCACGCGATAGCTATTTTATATTAAAAAAAAAAGAAGTCAAAATTGATTGCGTCGCGTTTTCGATGGGAAAAGCATGTATGAAACACAAATGAAAGGATACTCGATTTAAAAAAATCTGACAGCTCGATATCCACCGTGAGACAGGAGGACGTGGTTCTACAAGAGCTATTTTTTCCGACTGGGATATATTGGAAATGTAAAATTTCGCACTTTTGTGATTATAGAGTAACTTGACCGAGTTGAAGTCTTTCGGGACGCCGCCGGATGCGGTGCTGAAGGTCGCCCAAGCCGTGCTCGTTCTGTTCTCGCCCGAAGGGACGATACCGAAAGACAGAAGTTGGAAAGCCTGCAGAGTATTAATGGGATCTATCGACGGGTTTATGTCGCAATTGCGTAATTACGAGAAAGAGAACATACATCCGGAAGTCGTTAAGGCGATTCAGCCGTACATCAAGGACAAGGGTATCCTCATATTTTAACTATTATAGTGAATTATTATAGTGAAAGTACGAGATTAAAGACTGGTGCAGATATGCATGTCAAGCACATATAAAAGATGTATATATCATTTCTGAGTAAAAACATTATTGCGCACTGAGAAAAAAATCTGGATGCATTAATTAGAATTCTGATAGATTCAACCAGTATGTCTGTTGGAAAATGGACGAACTAGAATTCTTGTAGGAATTACCAGATGAATCTGATTAATTTCTTCCTGTTAAATTTACCTGTCAAATTTTCTGGTTAATAATAGATGCTGTTAAGTTTAGTATTATTAAGCATCAAGTCGTCTAAAATTTTTTCCATCTAATCTTAAAAGTCCGTTTAATATTCTGAAATCCAACACGATTATTGCATAAATTCAATCCAGATTATTGAATAAATTATTTTAAGTTCAGTTTGTTAGAAATTAAACTGATAAACAGTGATGCAAGAAGAGAATGCAGCTCATACACAATCAGAGAGCTATCGTCCTCTTTCTGACACTACTGCTCGTAAAAGAAAAAAAAATATACTTTGGATTTAATGTTAATATTACACTGAGAAAAAAATCTGGTTGCATTAATTAGAATTCTGGTAGATTCAACCAGTATGCCTGTTGGAAAATGAACGAACCAGAATTCTTGTAGGAATTACCAGATGAATCTGGTTGATTTCTTCCTGTTAAATTTGCCAAATTTTCTGGTTAATAATACTAAACTCGCCAGCACCAAGTCGTCTAAAATTTTTTCCATCTAATCTCAAAAGTCTGTTTAATATTCTGAATTCCAACAAGATTATTGGATAAATTCAATCCAGATTATTGAATAAATTATTTTAAGTTCAGTTTGTTAGAAATTAAACTGATAAACAGTGATGCAAGAAGAGGATGCAGCTCAAACATACACAATCAGAGAGCTAGCGTCCTCTTTCTGGCACTACTGCTCGTAAGAGAAAAAAAAATATACTTTGGATTTAATGTTAATATTAATTCTTTATATCCATTTCATGACAAATATTGAATATGAGTTAAATTAAGAGTGACTCGTCGCCTAACGACAAGCAAAGAAATTAATGTAACAAGAAATTTATAGATTCAAACCAGAAAATCCTATCAAATCCTTATAGTAAAATCTATTAAACGTTCTAGTTATAAAAAAACGAGTCTTATCATGATGACTAAAAATTCTTGTTTGATTTACCCAAAATGTCTTCAATCATACATGTCTTGTTGATACAATCAAACGATTTTTCTCAGTGCGTTTAATATGTTACGTGTGATTAGAGTTCGATCCGGATTTCGTGTATTCAAAATCGCAAGCGGCAGCGGGATTATGCAGCTGGGTGAAGAACATTATGGTATTTCATTACATCAATGAAAATGTCAAACCTCTGAGATACGCGCTTGCCCAGGCAAATGCCGAATTGAGGGCCGCTATGGAGAAGTTGCATTCCTTGAGGAATCGTTTAGCGGTGAGCTTGTTTACTAGTGTTATCTCTTTTTGTGGGTATTTTTATTAAAACGAGATATTTTTAAATTTTCTTCGCTTCTTCAGGAACTTCAAAAAATGTTAGACATTCTGAGTGAAAAGATGAACGTGGCTTTAGCCGCGAAACAAAAGTGTCAGGACGAAGCGGAGGCGACCGCGTTCACTATAGATTTGGCAAATCGATTGATAAACGGCCTTGCGTCTGAGAACGTTCGTTGGGCTGAGACTGTGCAAGTGTACGTAAATTAATCGTCTAATCATGAGATAATTAATCAAATCAGAAAAGAAAACTGTTTGAATAAGTAAACAAAAACATTCTAACAAATATCCAATAATAATTCTTCACATTGATAACTAAATCATCAGAGAAAGAGTGAGAAATTATTTCTTTGAAAGAACATTATGTGTCATATTTTTCAATTTGATAATGTCCAGATTTAAAAAATGTTTTCTTAATAATTACAGAATTTTTTCTATTCTTGAGAAATTTTACGACATATGCGTGCCTTCTGTCCATAAGAGAACTGATTTAATTCATTACTTTAATCTTATCAAATTTATATTAATTTGATATTTATTTAAATCTAATTTTTCTTCACATCTCCAATTATTTTATTTTCAACGTAGTGATATCCGTTTATTGAAATAATGCCAATTACTCGTGTTGAAGGTATTTCTAAGTACATTTATGATGCACCACAAAACAGATTAAAAAAGTCGGAAATTACTCTACCGGGCAACGTATTGCTCGTCACGGCATTTATCTCTTATATGGGATGTTTTACGAGGAAATACAGAATGGATCTCATGAATTTACATTGGTTACCGTTTCTCGACAATCTGCAAGTGCCAATACCGCATACACCGGACTTGGATCCGTTGTCTTTAATGACCGACGACGCGAAGATCGCCCGGTGGAATAACGACGGTAAAATAGTACATTTGATTTTCATCCTCTTATTTTACTTCATCTATCTTAATCGTGCAATTTTGAAAATCTATCTTATAGTGATTTCTCATAAATATAAATAAAAATAAATATAAATAAATAAGAAGAATAAAAATCTTCCATTAGCTTCGCACACAGAAAAAGGCATTCTTGTTTCGAAAATATATTTAGTTTTAACATGGAAATCTTAAAATGAGATTATATTGCGTTAATTAAAGAAAAATATAATTGCTTGAATAATTGCTTACTTGAATGAAGCCATTTTATATAGTTCAATCGAGAAAAATTTATTCTTATGATTTAAGATTGAAATTTCTTGAATAGAAAAGATACAATGTTGGATAGAAGATAACATTTTTAAATCAAAGATTCTAATTTTCTTAAAGTAGAATTAAATAATTATATATTCTTGAGGTGACAATTAAAATATTAAAATAAGACTATAATATTATTGAAATTAAAATTATTAAATAAATAAAAAAAAATAAAATTATTAAAAATAAAATTATAAAAATTAATTATAAAAAAAAATAAAATTATTAAAAATAAAATTATAAAAATTAATTATAAAAAAAAATAAAATTATTAAAATTATTAAATTCTTCTAAGAAGATTATAAATTGTTGCTTACATACGAAACAATTAACGCGTTATTTTAAGTATATAAGTATTGATTTGACACTTATTTTTTTTCTGTGCAATTTTCGCCAGTTAAATACCATATTCCCTTAGGTTTACCCACGGATAGGATGTCTTCGGAAAATGCCACGATACTCACGAATTCGTCTAGGTGGCCACTGATGATCGATCCGCAATTACAGGGAATCAAGTGGCTTAGGAATACGTACGGGGATCAATTAATAGTGTTACGTTCAACTCAAAAGAATTATCTCGACAGAATCGAACACGCCATCGCAAACGGAAACGTGGTGTTACTGGAGAGTATCATGGAAACAGTCGACGCCGTTTTAGATCCGATCCTGGGCCGGGTTTTAATAAAGAGAGGAAGGTATATTCGTACACACGATGTTCCTTTTTCCCCGATAAACGCAAACTATCCAGCGAAATTAATCTTGCCAAACGAACGGTAACAAAGGGCCATCAAGGTGGGGGATAAAGAGGTGGATTACGATCCGCGCTTCCGTCTCATCTTGCAAACAAAACTGGCGAATCCTCACTACAAGCCGGAGATGCAAGCTCAGACCACGCTCATCAATTTCACGGTTACGAAGGACGGTTTGGAGGAGCAGCTATTAGGCGCCGTCGTGAAAGCGGAACGTCCGGATCTGGAATCGAGCAAAGCCGAGCTCACGACTCAACAAAACACTTTCAAGATCACGCTGAAGGTGTTGGAGGATGATCTGTTGCACAGGTAATCTTATATCACTCGAAAAAAATGATCTTGCGACTAGAGCTGCAATTTTCTAGGTGCGAATAATTAACCGAGGTAGATAAATGATTAGCAAATATCGTGACATCATAAACCATGTTTTGCACTTGATCAATCTAAATGACAAACACAGAATTTATTTCTGAACTGTTAGTTAATTTAGAGAGAAAGTTTGTCTGTGGTGTCTATCCAAAACTAATCATATATATTGTTATAAAGTTTGATTGTGAACTAAGAAAAATCGTTTCTCACAGAAGAGAAAGATCTTTTTAGCTATAGAAATTCATATTTATGATGTGATTAATATTTTTCGCGATTCAAATTGAACATTTCCCGTTTTACCCGTTCGACACGAATTAAAGAAAAAAAAGTTCAAAAGCAAATTTCTCCGTCATTTAATTATATTAAGGATGTTTTGTATGTACAATTCCAGCAAAAAGTAGCTGAAAAGAAACAATGTTAGATGGAAAATAACATTTTTAAATCAAAGATTATAATTTTCTTAAAGTAGAATTAAATAATTATATATTCTTGAGATGGCAATTACAATATTGAAATAAGATTATAATATTGTTGAAATTTAAAATTACTAAATTCTTTCAAGAAGATTGTTGCGTATATACGAAATAATGAAGCATTAGTTTAAGTATACAAGTTTTAATTTGACATTTATTTTTTTCTGTGTAATATCGATGTGTTTTCGCAGAAAAAAAATAATCATTAATGATCTCGATTATCAATGTAGCGTTTCAAATCAGTAAAATCTCACTAAAAAAAACAGTTGGTGGCTGTTTCAATTAAATAACAATGTTTCTTAAAATACGTTATAATCTAAATGAAATAAATTTAGCCATATATTATATTTCTAAAGAGATATCTGAATTGAATCGAATTTTGTTTATTTTTTTAGAAGATTATTTTAAGAGTGAAAAAGTAATATTAAATGAAATATAATAAAAGTAATATTATATAAAATATATAGGATCCTTGACTTTTTGAATATAACATGATTATACGTGTTTCATTCCAGGTATGTGTGTATGCGGATTTTTTTTAATATCAATCCAAAATAAAGAAAACTTATATCTTCCAAATGTATACAATTATTACTAATTTTGCAGTTAAATCTTACTGTAAATGAATGACATATAAAAGGCAGAGAAGGAGGTGTTTGTATTTCTCATAAGAACACATATTAATTCGATGCAAATTAAAGTCCTTATAACTTGTGAATCGCTTTAGTGAATCGATTGAAAAATTGTACTGAAGATTCTAAACACATGTAAGGACATTCTGTATAGTTTTCATGAAATTCTCAATATTTTGAAAATAGATACAAAACATTCTTAATTAAAGAAAAATGAAATTGTTTAAATAATTGCTTACTTGAATGAAGCCATTTTATATAGTTCAATTACGAAAAATATGTTCTTATGATTTAAGATTTAATTTTCCTGAGTGGAAAAGAAACAATGTTAGATGGAAAATAACATTTTTAAATCAAAGATTATAATTTTCTTAAAGTAGAATTAAATAATTATGTATTCTTGAGATTACAATATTGAAATAAGACTATAATATTGTTGAAATTTAAAATTATTAAATTTTTTCAAGAAGATTGTTGCGTATATACGAAATCATGAAGCATTAGTTTAAGTATACAAGTTTTGATTTGACACTTATTTTTTTCTGTGTAGTATCGATGTGTTTTCGCAGAAAAAAAATAGTCATTAATGATCTCGATTATCAATGTAGCGTTGCAAATCGGTAAAAATCTCACTAAAAAAATCAATTGGTGGCTGTTTCAATTGAATAACAATGTTTCTTTAAAATACGTTATAATCTAAATGAAATAAATTTAGCCATATATTATATTTCTAAAGAGATATCTGAATTGAATCGAATTTTGTTTATTTTTTTAGAAGATTATTTTAAGAGTGAAAAAGTAATATTAAATGAAATATAATAAAAGTAATATTATATAAAATATATAGGATCCTTGACTTTTTGAATATATAGCATGATTATACGTGTTTCATTCCAGATATATGTGTATGCGGATTTTTTTTAATATCAATCCAAAATAAAGAAAACTTATATCTTCCAAATGTATACAATTATTACTAATTTTGCAGTGAAATCTTGCTGTAAATGAATGACATATAAAAGGCAGAGAAGGAGATGTTTGTATTTCTCATAAGAACACATGTTAATTCGATGCAAATTAAAGTCCTTATAACTTGTGAATCACTTTAGTGAATCGATTGAAAAATTGTACTAAAGATTCTAAACATATGTAGGACATTCTGTACAATATTCATGAAATTCTCGATATTTTGAAAATAGGTACAAAACATCCTTAAGAGCATAATCTCATCGTGCCTCATCTCTCATTCAGATTGGCGACGGCCGGACCCGATATCCTAAGCGACGTCGCTCTTGTGGAGAACCTCGAAACTACGAAGAAGACCGCGAGCGAGATCGAGGCGAAGGCGATCGAGGCGAAGGTGACCGCTGCCAAGATAGACGAGGCGCGAGAATCCTACCGATCGGTGGCGTCCAGGGCCAGCCTCCTCTACTTCATCCTTAACGATCTCAACAAGATCAACATGCTGTACCAATTTTCTCTCAAGGCGTTCAGCACGGTCTTTCAGAATGCCATTAAATTCGCGGAACCAGCCGACACCCTCGGTAAACGCGTCGCCAGTCTGATCGACAGCGTCACGTACCTGGTTTTTACCTACACCAGCAGAGGACTATTCGAGAGCGACAAGCTCATATTTCTCTGTCAGCTGACTCTTCAGGTGCTACATCGTTTCGTAAATGTGACGGATAAACAATAAACTCTCTCTCTCTCTCTCTCGTTCGAAACAATTTCAAACTGATACATTCTTTTCGAAATCTTTGATAAAGATGAGGGTATTAAATTTGTATCAAACGTACATCTCCAGCAATAACAATAATCCCTTTAATATTTAAATAATGAGACACCGAGTCATTCAATTTTAATGTAATTTTAGGTTTCACGCTTTTAATATAATTGATGTAAAGCCTTTGATATTTCTTGTTCAATTATCATATTTGCGCTGAAGATGGCTCAAAAATAAGGTCGAAACGTTCGCAAACTTTTTATAATTGTATTTATTATTTCATACTTATTTGTTTTGTATAATAAATAACTGTGTTATAAGATCGACACTTGATTCGCATTGCCATTAAAACTGATTTGTTTAATTTTAATAGTCTCTTTATTACGTAATTATAAAATGCATCCTATATTTGCAATATTTATTTTCTTCATGACGTATCTTTCTTCACATTTTCTGTTTTGTGTAAATAATATTATAAAATTCTAATCAATCATATTTCTTAAACTCTGCTTTCTATTTGATGTAATTTAAATCTCTCGAAATTATCTCTCTGCTTTAGTTTTAATAAATCTTTAATATAAAAATCATATTAATTATGGACGATTACTTTCCAAAACCGTGTACGTAATAAACGATCATACTGCGATTTATAGATTCTGCTGCAGACGAAGGAGATAGATCAGATCGAAGTAGATTTTCTCTTGCGATTCCCTTATTTGCCGGATCATACGAGCCCGGTGGACTTTCTGAGCAACGTCGCCTGGGGTGGCATCAAGTATTTGAGCGGGATGGAGAATTTTCGCAATTTAGATCGCGATATAGACGGGGCGGCGAAAAGATGGAGGAAGTTCGTGGAATCGGAGACACCGGAGAGAGAAAAATTTCCCCAGGAATGGAAGAACAAGCCAGCCTTCCAGAGACTTTGCATAATGAGATGCGTGAGACTAGATCGAATGGTTTACGCCATGCGGTATACAATTTACTCTAGAATAAACACTCGTTTGAATAAAAATCAAAACACATGCGTGCGATGTATGCGATAAATATTTATTTTTCCTCCAACGATTTACGCAGATGTTTCGTGGAGGAGAAACTGGGTGCAAAATTCATACAGTTTCGTATGCAGCCGTTTGAAAAATCATACGAAGAGACAAACGCGGATACGCCGGTATTTTTCATCCTGTCCCCAGGAGTCGATCCTCTAAAGGCACGTTTTCCTACGTGTTATAATAAATTATATTATTATTTGTTATTAATTATATTTTTTATCATTTTTATTATTTATATTTTTTATTATTTTTATTATTTCTTATTATATTTTTTATTATTAATTATATTTTTTAATTATTTATTATTAATTATATTATTTACATTCAAATACTCAGGTATAGATATGAGCGATATTTGCGTGAGAAAAATTCCTTAGAATACTAATGAGACTAAAATTGGTCTTGGTCTATAACTAAGAGCTAATTAACGATGTCGTAGGACGTCGAGAAACTTGGTAGAAGACTCGGTTTTACGTTGAACGCGCAAAATTTCCACAATGTATCATTGGGACAAGGTCAAGAACCTGTCGCGGAGAGGGCGATGGACATCTCGGCGCGCGACGGTCACTGGGTTATACTTCAAAATATCCACCTGGTGCGGAACTGGCTGCCGAATTTGGAAAAGAAGATGGAACAACTTTCGGAGGAGTGCCACGAGGACTATCGTCTCTACATCAGCGCGGAATCGAGCCCCGATCCCCGCGAGTCGATAATACCGCAGGTAAAATAAGGGAAAAGTTGTCCGAGAAGCGACAAACTTTCCTTTTCTTGCGTGCAATTTATCGTGAAAAAAAAATGCGACAAGTTTTTCTCGCGATTTTCTGCGAGCGTCGCTTTCGAATCTTGCTTTCGCCGAATTTTCTGCATATTTTAATACGATCGAAATGCACAAGGGGATACTGGAGTCGGCCATAAAGATCACCAACGAGCCGCCGACGGGTATGCGCGCCAATATTCACAAAGCCCTGGATAATTTCAGCCAGGACACCCTAGAGTCCTGCACCAAGGAAACGGAGTTCAAAGCTATTCTCTTCACCCTCTGTTACTATCACGCTGCCGTAGCCGAGCGTAGAAAATTCGGGGCGCAAGGATGGAATGGGGTCGGTATTCGCGCTATTTAAGTCAGACTTAAATAATCTATAATTCGATAAAATTTTTTACAATTTTATAGAACCATTGAAATCGTAAAGCTTGGAATTTTTACATTTAATTTGTAATTTTTAATGGTGAATTATTCGTTAAAAAAGAATTTTAAGAAGAAATGAATTTTAAATGAAAAATTAATAAATTTTGTATAGAAAAATATATTTAATATAAATATATTTATATAAATATATTTATTAAATATATAAATATATAAATATATAAATATATAAATATATTTATTAAATATATTTATATAAATATATTTATATTAAATATATTTTTCTATACAAAATTTATTAATTTTTCATTTAAAATTCATTTCTCCTTAAAATTCCATTTAAAATTCATTTCTTCTTAAAATTCTTAAAATATATTTATATAAATATATTTATATAAATATATTTAATAAATATATATTTATATATTTATATATTTATATATTATATATTTATATATTATTATAAATATATAATAAATATATTTAATATAAATATATTTAATAAATATATTTTTATATATTGACGTGTGTCAGAAAATGTTGAGTGCTCCTTTCGAAATAATCATCTATGCAATTCTTTTAAATTTAATATTTAACATACAGGTGTATCCGTTCAACGTTGGCGATCTGACCATCAGTGCTTCGGTATTATTAAACTATCTAGAGGGTAATACTAAGATACCCTGGGAAGATTTGCGTTACTTGTTCGGGGAGATCATGTACGGCGGTCATATAACCGATGATTGGGACAGAAGGCTGTGTCGAACGTATCTCCTCGAGTATCTACAACCGGAATTGGTCGAGGGTGAATTATATCTAGCACCGGGTTTTCTGGTGCCACCCAGTACTGATTATGCGGGCTATCATGAATATGTGGATAATTATTTGCCGACGGAGAGTCCGGTTTTGTACGGACTTCACCCGAACGCAGAGATCGGTAAAATTTCTCGATCATTTTTGTCGTTAAAAATAAAACTTATGAGATGAGTGATTTCGTTTATCCTACAGTTTATTCGTCTATCATAAATACTTTAATACCTCGCGGAAGACTTTTATCTCTTACAGAAATATAAGAATGTTTTTCATTCGTTTATTCGATTTTACTTCGTTTTCCCCTCCTCGATTTATGTTCGCGTTCAAACGAAATGAATGGTCGCTCGTTACCCTTTTGCGAAGGGTTCCTCACAACCACGGCGGAGAAGTTATTCAGAACAATCTGGGGGATGCAGCCACGGGACGTCGCCGACACAACGATCGGGGTGTTATCGAAAGAAGACAAGGTGAAAGTTATGATAGAGGATTTACTCGACAAGCTTCCCGAGGAGTTTAATATACAAGAATTAATGAACAAGGTTGATGTCAGGCTATTATATCGGAGGCTCGTTATAAGATCTGTCAATCTTGAAAAGAGCACTGAATAAATATGACATAAGGATATTTTTCAAGATAACGTGCAATAAATATCGTTCATATAAATATAATTAAATAATGTAATTTAATATAATTAAATGTGATAATTGCTTACTTAAAGTGCGTGTCACAAAGTCATCAAGGAATGATAATTATCAATTATTCCGGTGTCATATTTAATACAGTGTCTTAACTGCTTCTATACGTTCCCTTTCTAACATCGGTCATTACACATTTTATGTCCTCGACTTTATTGCCACTTCGGACGCGAACTTTAATTTTCTCTTCTTTATCTTTACAACATCACGCAGCAATATATTAATATTACAATTTATTTTTTATGGTGGCAAACAAAATAGACAAAAAATTTCACTCTCTATTTCTTCCTTTCTATTTTCTCTTTATTTCTATTAGACGGAAGATCGCACTCCTTTCGTTATCGTCGCTCTCCAAGAATGCGAGCATATGAACGCGCTTTGCAAGGAACTGAAAAGATCTTTGACAGAATTGGATCTCGGTTTGAAGGTGAGCATCAAGATAAAGATGTAGGCAACAGTGATGCGATAAACCTACACTGAGAAAAATCGTTTGATTGTACAAGACGTATATGATTGAAGGCATTTTGGATAAATCAAACAAGAATTTCTAGTTATTATGATAAGACTCGATTTTTTATAACTAGAACGTTTAATAGATTTTACTATAAGGATTTGATTAGTATTTTCTGGTTTGAATCTATAAAATTTCTTGTTACATTAATTTCTTTGCTTGCTTCTTAACTTAACTCGTATTCAATATTTGCCATGAAATGTATATAAAGAATTAGTATTAACATTAAATCCACAGTATATTTTTTTTCTCTTACGAGCAGTAGTGCCAGAAAGAGGACGCTAGCTCTCTGATTGTGTGTGTTTGAGCTGCATCCTCTTCTTGCATCACTGCTTATCAGTTTAATTTCTAACGAATTAAATTTAAAATAATTTATTCAATAATCTGGACTGAATTTATACAATAATCGTGTTGGAAATCAGAATATTAAACAGACTTTTGAGATTAGATGGAAAAAATTTTAGACGACTTGGTGCTGGCGAGTTTAGTATTATTAACCAGAAAATTTGGTAAATTTAACAGGAAAAAATTAATCAGATTCATCTGTTAATTCCTACAAGAATTCTGATTCGTCCATTTTCCAACAGACATGCTGGTTGAATCTACCAGAATTCTAATTAATGCAACCAGATTTTTTCTCAGTGTAGTATTAACATTAAATCCAAAGTATATTTTTTTTCTCTTACGAGCAGTAGTGCCAGAAAGAGGACGCTAGCTCTCTGATTGTGTGTATTTGAGCTGCATCCTCTTCTTGCATCACTGTTTATCAATTGAATTTCTAACAAACTGAATTTAAAATAATTTATTCAATAATCTGGATTGAATTTATCCAATAATCTTGTTGGAATTCAGAATATTAAACAGACTTTTGAGATTAAATGGAAAAAATTTTAGATGACTTGGTGTTAGTGAGTTTAGTATTATTAATCAGAAAATTTGGTAAATTTAACAGGAAAAAATTAATCAGATTCATATGTTAATTCCTACAAGAATTCTGATTCGTCCATTTTCCAACAGACATACTGGTTGAATCTACCAGAATTCTAATTAATGCAACCAGATTTTTTCTCAGTGTAGTATTAACATTAAATCCAAAGTATATTTTTTTTCTCTTACGAGCAGTAGTGCCAGAAAGAGGACGCTAGCTCTCTGATTGTGTTTGAGCTGTATCCTCTTCTTGCATCACTGTTTATCAATTTAATTTCTAACAAACTGAATTTAAAATAATTTATTCAATAATCTAGATTGAATTTATCCAATAATCTTGTTGGAATTCAGAATATTAAACAGACTTTTGAGATTAGATGGAAAAAATTTTAGACGACTTGGTGCTGGCGAGTTTAGTATTATTAACCAGAAAATTTGGTAAATTTAACAGGAAGAAATTAATCAGATTCATCTGTTAATTCTTACAAGAATTCTGATTCGTCCATTTTCCAACAGACATACTGATTGAATCTACCAGAATTCTAATTAATGCAACCAGATTTTTTCTCAGTGTAGTATTAACATTAAATCCAAAGTATATTTTTTTTCTCTTACGAGCAGTAGTGCCAGAAAGAGGACGCTAGCTCTCTGATTGAGTGTGTTTGAGCTGCATCCTCTTCTTGCATCACTGTTTATCAGTTTAATTTCTAACGAATTGAATTTAAAATAATTTATTCAATAATCTGGACTGAATTTATACAATAATCGTGTTGGAAATCAGAATATTAAACAGACTTTTGAGATTAGATGGAAAAAATTTTAGACAACTTGATGCTGGCGAGTTTAGTATTATTAACCAGAAAATTTGGTAAATTTAACAGGAAAAAATTAATCAGATTCATCTGTTAATTCCTACAAGAATTCTGATTCGTCCATTTTCCAACAGACATACTGGTTGAATCTACCAGAATTCTAATTAATGCAACCAGATTTTTTTCTCAGTGTAAGGATCCATTTTAGGGCGAGCTCACAATCAGCGCAGACATGGAGGATCTGCAAAATCATCTCTTTATGGATTCTGTACCGCCGTCATGGACCAAACGCGCCTGTCCCTCCACCCTTGGTTTGTCGAATTGGTTCGCTGACATGCTCAATCGAATAACCGAGCTATCGAATTGGACGGTAGATTTTAACGTAAGTAAAGGCAAGACCGCGAGTGAGAAAAAAAAATACTATAAACGGCAATGAAATTGAAAAAAAAATTATGTATTTTCACGCGAAACGTGGGACAAAGAATTTAAATTTTGTCACACGTTGCGATCAATTTGGAGAAACGTTGTTTCGTCATTGGCCTTATGCTGAAAAAAGCTTGTCTTTCTTTTCCTTGATCAATCCACTCTTTCTTGCGGAACGTCTTTCGGCAGTTGCCGTCATCGATTTGGCTGGGTGGTTTCTTCAATCCGCAGTCCTTACTTACCGCCATCATGCAGCAAACCGCCCGTAAAAACGAGTGGCCCTTGGACAAGATGTGTCTGCATTGCGACGTAACCAGAAAGCAGAAGGAAGAAATTACGTAAGAGATGACATGAGAACTTTTAGAGGATCTTTCTGAAATACACAAAATTCCACAAATCCAAATCCTTTATCGAAATCCTAAATTCGCTTTTCGCACAATAAGTCGCTAAAGTACAAGTAGCAGTAAAGATCTTTGCGATAAATTTTTCGGGATGGGAAACTCGACCTATCCTCGAAGGGTCAACACGATATAAAGCCGAGATGATCTCTTTATCAGGGTGCCGCCGCGCGAGGGCGCATATGTGAATGGTTTATACATGGAGGGTGCCCGATGGGACGTGGCTACTGGCGTCATTGCAGATTCTCGACTCAAGGAGCTGTTCTCCCTGATGCCGGTGGTATTCGTCAAGGCGATCACGCAGGACAAACTAGAGACGAAGAACACGTACGAGTGTCCGGTTTACAGGACCAGGACGAGAGGTCCCACGTACATCTGGACGTTCAATCTCAAGACCCGCGAGAAGCCCACGAAGTGGACTCTGGCCGGCGTTGCGATTCTCCTGCAAATTTAGACCCTCTTTCCTTCTCCGTTCACAGTTTCCTCTTCTTTCACCTTTTTTCTTTCACCTTCTTCGCCCGAGTCGTAATGGCAAGTCGCGACCACGGTTTCCCGGTTAATAACCTCCTCGCAATTACGTGAAACCCTCTTCGAGTTACGAGGAGAGGGCTTCTCGAGTCGAGGAGCGGCGATAATTACAATGCGCGTATTCGGATAATTACGATTGGCGTATAAGCGTCCGTTATAACGCTCTCGAAGTGGAGCGATTTCGAGCCGAGTGGAAGCTCTTTGCCGGGCGGAAGGAACTTGGCTCGCAGATGGGACGCTCGTTTAGTCCAAAAGGTGTACCGCTAGTGTCGTCAATTGAAATCGTCAATTGAGAGAATCGACAGAAATGTGACAGGGTGGCGAGTACACGTTTCGACAACAGGAACATCGGCGACTCTCTCTCTCTCTCTCTCTTTTTTTCGTACATCCGGTGTTTTCTTTACGCGCCCACTTCACGTACACCACCCTCGCTTCATTGTATTAGCCGGTATGGCTATTTGACAAGTCAACGGTACACGACGACAATATGATTGGAGGTTTCGAGGAAGTGGTCACCCTTTATCGACTGCGACGTAATTATCTGTTTCGCGATGACGCATCTGGTTTCGCGTGCCGTCCGGCTTCCACAATGATGCGATGCGGAATTTTGGACACGCGAGTGAAACGCCTTGCGAAACCCAACCGAGTCAGCTAAACTGACAATAACGAAACGACCGGTGAGCTAGAGCGAAGCCTACTGTCGCGCGACATTGTAACCACATTTGACTCGCAATCGCGTATATTTCTTCCAACGATTGGACCTATCGTTTATCCGGAATCAATTGTTGCGGATACCCAAGGACAAGAATTCATGTATGTTTCTTGTACGCGAGAATATACAGATTTAATAGCGCGAGTATCGCAAATCGTATCAATCTCCATTTACTCTACATAATTTATCAAGCTTAAATTATTGTGGAACTCTGTAATAAGACTTGTAAAAATATACTTCTTATGTGTTCATCATTATGTTCTTTAAAATATATGCGTTTTTTATACATCGTTTATTAACGGTCGAAAAAAATTTTGATTAAGGATGTTTTGTATTTTCATCTCCTTTTCTGCCTTTTATATGTCATTCATTTACAGCAAGATTTCACTGCAAAATTAGTAATAATTGTATACATTTGCAAGATGTAATTTTTCTTTATTTTGGATTGATATTTTAAAAAAATCCACATACACACATATCTGGAATGAAACACGTATAATCATGTTCAAAAAGTCAAGGATCTTATATATTTTATATAAGATTGCTTTTATTATTTCATATTACTTTTTTACCCTTAAAATAATCTTGTAAAAAGTAAACAAAATTCGATTTAATTCAGATATCTCTTTAGAAATATAATATATGGCTAAATTTATTTCATTTAGATTATCGTATTTTAAGAAACATTGTTATTCAATTGAAACAGCCACCAATTGATTTTTTTAGTGAGATTTTACTGATTTGCAACGCTACATTGATAACCGAGATCATTAATGACTATTTTTTTCTGCGAAAACACATCGATATTACAAAAAAAAAGTAAGTGTCAAATCAAAACTTGTATCTTAAACTAATGTGTTCATTGTTTCGTATATACGCAACAATCTTCTTGGAAGAATTTAATAATTTTAAATTTCAACAATATTACAGTCTTATTTCAATATTGTAATTGTCATCTCAAGAATATATAATTATTTAATTCTATTTTAAGAAAATTATAATATTTGATTTAAAAATGTTATTTTCCATCTAACATTGTTTCTTTTCCATTCAAGAAAATTAAATCTTAAATCATAAGAATATATTTTTCTTTATTGAACTGTATAAAATAGCTTCATTCAAGTAAGCAATTATTCAAGCAATTTCATTTTTTTTAAATTAAGGATGTTTTGTATCTATTTTCAAAATATTGAGAATTTAATGAAAATTGTACAGAATATCCTTACATATGTTTAAAATCTTCAGTACTGTTTTTAAATCGATTCACTAAAGCGTTCACAGGTTATAAGGATTTTAATTCGCACCGAATTAACATGTGTTCTTATGGGAAACGTATAACCACATCGATTTAAATGACAAAAATATGAAAATAATATTCAGAATTTGTTTAAAATTTGCAAAAGTTTAGATACAGAGGAAATATTTGGTCAATTAATATTATACAAGTACTAACTGGTTAAAAAGATATTAAATATAATTCAATGAAGTTAGCCATGTATCTGTCACAAGGCGAAATTCTCTGCCAAAAGTGAATCATTTCGATTAACAAAATTCGGAATATTTCAGTAAAAACGTAATAAATATTAAAAAATACATCTCTGCACTGTAGCCAAGATTAAATTGTAATATTCCACACGATTTTTCATACTCAAAATACACCAAAAGTGGATATATTCAATATTGATTTTCAGCTAATATTTGCTGCGATTGTACATATAAAACATACTTAATAATCTTTTCTTTATCGCAATATTCATCGAATTGATTCGCGTTATTTTTTATTTCTCTTTGGAAATCAAATTTTCACAGAGTTGCATATTTTTGCGAATGAGCTTCGACATTGAACGCGCTCAGACGAAGCCGGCGCTACCTGTCTCGGATTAAGAAGGACTCGGGAAATATTTTTTGATCATTAAACTAATTAGATTACCGGTATTGCGGCGGTCGGCTATAAATTAGTGCTCCAGGACCTTTACGGTTGCTCATCGTCCGGGTTCTACTCGGCCGAAGAACGCCTTCGGGGCAAACGCGCGTTTCTGGTATTTATAAGGGACCTACCGAAGACGCGCGAGATGAACACGAACCAGAAGCATCGAAAAGACCGCATTCGAGTCATCCAAATCGAGAGAGACATTGCGCACTCGATTGCTACTCGAATACGCTTAAGCCCAATTTAAACGACCGATAATTCACGATAAACTTTGAAATGCGATCCCATCCAGAAGCTCTTATAAAATAATGTAAATATTTGTAGGATTATAACTGTCCCTGAGAAAAGGAGGCATATGTTTTATATTTATGGATAAAAATTGAGCAAAAAAATATATTGATAAATAATCATATATAAACAATTCGAAATTTTTTTGTACATCTTGTAATGTAACTATTTCTCGATCTCGCAAGGTGGAATAACCTGCTTTCTAAGCAATGTTAAAAACACATCCAGCTCTCTCCTTGCGTGTTGATTATCAATCAACGATAACAGTAAATTATAATATTATTACAATCAATAATTCGCAATTAATTATTACTCGCAATGCACGCTTCATCAAATGTATAAACACATGATTAATAAGATAGCGAATCAAGAAATATAAAAAGTCGGTGGAAACACATTCAATTACACAATAATTATATGTATTGCGTTTACATATATGACTACAACTTGTATTTGTAATAAAAAAAGTCTCCTTCTTCGCATCTATTTTTATTCTAATGCGACAAGTAGTAATACGCAAATTACAAATGGTCTAAAATGGATTTAACGTGCAACGAGATGGGCTCGTAAATATACGGCTCGTAGTAATTAAGGAGTCAAGAGAACAAAGACCAATCAAGTTGAGAAATAGAAACTTTCCGGCCAACTGAAGACCATTCTACCCGTCAAAATTAAAGTCATATCAAACGAAAAGTTTTACATAATGAGAAACTTACGTTTTACCGACATGAATGCGGTATCAATATGTCATAGAAAGCTAAGCATAAGTCGGTAGAAGGATGCCTTTTACGCGTCGCAATCATAATTGCCTTCTCCCATAGAAAAACTTGCGTATTGAAATTGCAAGAAAATTTATTCCATTTATTTTATGTATTTTCTCACGCATGTAATTATGATGTAAAATATATGATGTAAAATATTAATAGTTCCCATTATATAATAACATATGGAAATCAGCTGTTGAGTTATAGTCAACATTATCAGCTGTTCTCAGATTAACTTGTCATTGAAAAAAATTCATTAGAATCATCGAGAGTATCTCGTTTGCTTGAGGGAGGCAATAATTATGCATAAATTATTGGAAAAAATGGAAATGTGACTCACGTGCTTCCGTCGGTCGGGTGTGTCCGTCGGGAGGATGCAATCAGAAGAGCGCAAAACATTGGCAGCGCAAGACCCTCGTCGGAGCTGAAAACATCATCGACCATATTATTACACGATAATTTCTAAACATTGTATCGTCTTCGAGCAATAAACGAAACAAACGCATTAAATCACGTTTTACTCGTTTCTATTTCAACAATTACTCAAAAAAATAAATAAAAGAAAATATTGTAAATAAATATAAATATTAAAAATATTATTGTGTGCATTTATTTTTGTGTATTTATTTTTTTAAACGATATACATGTGCATCTTACAATGCAAATTTTTTTTTTCTTTAGAATAATCGAAATACTTGAGCTGTAGACAAAATATCCAAAGATTTAAGGATGCTCTTTTAACGAATGTCGAAGAGACGAGAATGTGAGGATACAACAGCTGTTAATCTAACAGATAAATTTTAAACGAAATAAACGTATTAAACCACGTTTTACTCGTTTCTATTTCAACAATTACTCAAACAAATAAATAAAAGAAAATATTGTAAATAAATATAAATATTGAAAATATTATTGTGTGTATTTATTTTTGTATATTTATTTTTTTTAAACGATATACATGTGTATCTTTCAATGTAAAATATTTTTTTCTTTAGAATAATCGAAATACTTGAGCTGTAGACAAAATATCAAAGATTTAAGGATGCTCTTTTAACGAATGTCGAAGAGTCGAGAATGTGAGGATACAACAGCTGTTAATCTAACAGATAAATTTTAAACGAAATAAACATATTAAACCACGTTTTACTCGTTTCTATTTCAACAATTACTCAAACAAATAAATAAAAGAAAATATTGCAAATAAATATAAATATTGAAAATGTTATTGTGTGTATTTATTTTTGTATATTTATTTTTTTTAAACGATATACATGTGTATCTTTCAATGTAAAATATTTTTTTCTTTAGAATAATCGAAATACTTGA